ATGGTAAACATCCCATAATGCGTATAAATGTTGAATCACTATGTTGTGCACCTGAAACTAATATAGTATTATATGTCAAGTATACTTCAATTAAAAAAATGAAATAAGCAAAAAAAAAGTAGACTGGAGAAAAACAGTGTGCATTTTATGCCCCATATATGTAAAACCAAAAGAGAGGGTTATATATACACATTCACACAGATTATCATTGGAATGATAAATAAGAAGCTGATAAAAATCAATGATTCTTGGGAGGAAAAGGGGGGCGGGGTTTGGAGGATAAAGGCAGGTAAGAGATTTGCTTTTCATTGTCTACTGGTGATGATGTTTGAATTTTTTTTTACCATGTGAATGCATTACCTATTAAAATAATTTTTAAAAAAGTAGCATTCAGAGACTGAATAAAAGGGAATGGGTAGTATCTGAGACAGATGGGGTAGATAGCATGCTCAACATCTGCACTAAGCCCCACTATCCAGCTTGCCTACATTGCAGAGGCTGGGAAGTTAAAACCGCACTTCCATGACCTTCTTGGAGCTTGGTCTCTGGATGTGTTTTAAGTTCCCCAGTCAGATACACTCTAGGGGGCTTGAATCTGGAACTGAGTTTCTCTGGGGGAGAAATGAGGCACCATGTGAGGGTTTAGGATGTCATGGTTCTGGAACCAACAGCTCTGACGCTGGCTTCTTTTCTCTCGGATCTTGGCTAAAGGGGTGTGTTCTTGGAGCCAATAGTTGGAACAGTAGCTTCCCAATTTCCTAATTTCCTGATGTGGAAGAAGTAACAATTTTTAAAAAAGATTTTATTTATTTATTTGAGAGAGAGAGAGTGTGTGTGTGAGAGAGAGCACAAGCAGGGGGTAGGGGTAGAAGGAGAAGCAGACTCCCCGCCGAGCAGGGATCCTGAAGCGGGACTCGATCCCGTTACTCCGGGTTCATGACCTGAGCTGAAGGCAGATGTTTAAGTGACTGAGCTACCCAGGCGCGCAAAAGTAACAATCCTTTTCAACTTATAGTAACCCTCTTTATCTCTGATAACTTTGTTAACTTAAATTCTATTTTGTGTGATATTAATATAACTATACCAACTTTCTTTTGGTTAGTTTGACCATATTTTTACATGCTTAAAAAAAATCTTTTGGGAGCGCCTGGCTGGCTCAGTCAGTGGAGCATGCGACTCTTGACCTTGGGGTTGTGAGTTCGAGCCCCATGTTGGGTGTAGAGATTACTTAAAAATAAAACCTTTAGGGGCACCTGGTGACTCAGTTGTTAAGCGGCTGCCTTCGGCTTAGGTCATGATCTCAGGGTCCTGGGACCGAGCCCCGCATCGGGCTCCCTGTTCAGCGGGAAGCCTGCTTCTCCCTCTCCCACTCCCCCTGATTGTGTTCCCTCTCTCGCTGTGTCTCTCTCTGTCAAATAAATAAATAAATAAAAATCTTTAAAAAAAATAAAAACTTAAAAAAATTTTTAAAAATCTTTTTTATACTTTAAACTTATATAATGTTGTATGTCAATTATATTTCAATAATAAAAACTCTCAACCTTTCCTACTTTTCTTAATTTTGGGGTGTGTCTTCTTTAAATAGATTTGTTCATTTAGCCTTAGTTTATTCCTGTTTTCTCCTAGGAATTCCTTAGATATCATCAGCCAAGGTTAGTCATGAATTGAAAAGGATTTTTTTTTTACATTTTATCTAGTGTTTTTAGGTCTGCTGTACTGGGTTTTTTGTGAGTGGTTACTATGTCTTTTTTCATAAACAGAATACCTTTTAAAAAATTCATGTTTCATATATTTTAGACATATAATACTAAATCCCAGAAGGAAAGCTACCTTATTGGGATATTCACATTTGCAGTTTATCAGAATTTATCAGAATTCAGCATTTGGGAAACATACTCCAGGGAATCTGGAAGAATATAATGAGTAACTTTATGCAGCCTAGATTATATTGCTTCCTGTTGAGTGGTCTAACTAACACTCTGGGGCCTTGAACTATTCCATAGACTGCACACCTCTAGGGACTCATCTGTAGTTTTACCACCCACTACCAATCACAATTCAGACAAGAAGCTTGGTGGCCAGAAGCTACAGAGATATGTCCTGACACCTGCTGGTGACTGAGGGAGCCTTCACCTGCTAAAGATGGGAACTGTTGATGCTTCTGAGTTCAAAAGTTCAACAAACAATTGTTTCACACTTTTGTGTCAGACTTTGGTGTCATTGCATGGATACAAAGACGAAACAGAGTGGGTTACTGCTCTTGAAGAATTCATAAACTCAGGGCATGCCCTTTAGTGAGGAAAGAGAAAGACACATATACTGATAATTTAAATACTTTGTGGTAGGTGTTACGATGCATGTGAGATAATAAAAAAATATGTACTGGTCTCTCCTAAGTTCCTGGCACAGAGCTCCTAAAACCCTTGTAAATTCCTAAGTGATAAGAGCACTAGGAGCATCTTTTTTTCTATTGAGGTGGCTCTGGGTGGGCTCCTGGATGGCTCCTAGATGGGGCTGGTCACCAGAAAGACGGAGCCTCGATTTGAAGCTTGGAATTTTCAGCCCTGCCCCTTCCATTTCTATAGAGAGAGGAGGGGTTTAGAAATGGAGTTAGTAATTGATCATGCCTATGTGAGGAAGCCTCCATAAAATCCCGACAGTATGGTGTTCAGAGAGCATCCAGATCCGTGAACCATCCATGAATTGGGGGGGTACACACCCCTTCTGTTTCCATGGGGACAGAGCTCCTGTCCTTGAAACTCTGCCAGACTTCACCCAATGTTATCTTTTCATCTGGCTATTCATTTGTATCGTTTATCATATACTTTAACAAACTGGTAATGGTAAGTATTTCCCTGAGTGAGCCACTCTAGTAAATTAATCAAACCAGAGGAGAGGAAAAACAAAAACAAAAACAACAACAAAAAAAAAACCAGAGGAGAGGGGTATGGGAACCTCTGATTTGTAGCCATGTCAGATAGATGTTGTGGGTAACCCAGGTACTTACTACTGGGCATCTGAAGCGGGGGACAGGCTTGTGGGACTGAGCCCTTAATCTGTGGGATCCGATGCTATCCCCAGGTAGGAGTGTCAGAATTGAGTTAAATTGTAGGACATCCAGATGGTATCTCAGAGAATTGCTTGGTGGGGAAAAACCCTCTACACATGTGACCAGAAGTGTCAGAAGTGAAGTGTTGTATATGAGTAGTAAAGGAGACACACAGGAGGGAAAGACTCCCCCCACCTCACCCCACCCCCGCCCAACAATGCGGTAAGCTCAGAGTGCAGGGAGGTTAGTTTACTCTGCATCTCCACACGAGGAACTCTCTGTAGCTCCCAGATATACTGCTTTTCATTTCAGCTACAGGCAAGAGACAGAGTCTTTCTGGCCCTAATGCAAATTTTTAGGAAAGGGAAATTAATGGCCCCCCCAACCCCAGTTAAATATCCTTCTCTGGTCCTATAACTGTGACCAATCTTGGTCACAGATGCTGCACTGAGCTGGCAGGATACTTGGCTCTTGTCTTTCTGTAGCACTCAAACCTGAGTCAGCCCTACCACCGTCTTTGCCTGAGCAGTTAAGAGCTGCTGGAGAAAAAGGCCACACAAGCATTTGTAGAAATTTCAAATGGAACATCCAAATGGGACAAGATCCCCTAGGCCTCGTGATGGTGGTTGGGTGGTAAGGGATGGTGCTGGGGGGTGGGGGCGGGTAGCATTGCAAAGACTGATTCGAGGGGGGGTGGGGGCCTGAGTGGCTCAGTTGGTTAAGCATCTGACTTCAGCTCAGGTCATGATCTCAGGGTCCTGGAATCAAGCCTGTGTTGGGCTCCCTGCTCAGCAGGGAGTCTACTTGTCCTCTCCCCACACTCATTCTCTCTCTCTCTCTCATATAAGTAAATAAAATCTTAAAAAAAAAAAAAGACTGATTCAATGGCCCCAAAGGGGCATGATCTTGGTGAATTCACCAAGTTCAGGGGAAGGCTCTGAATTTTGCAAGCTAGAAGCATGAGCTTCATATCTCAGAACCAAGGGGCACCCAGCTGGCTCAGTCCGTAGAGCATGCAACCTGTGATGTCAAGGTTGTGGGTTTGAGCCCCATGTCAGGGGCTTAAAATTTTAAGATTACTTAAAAATAAAATCTTAAAAAAAGAAAATCTCATGGGCGCCTGGGTGGCTCAGTCGGTTAAGTGTCTGCCTTTGTCTCACGCCATGATCCCAGAGTCCTGGGATCGAGTCCTGCATTGGGCTCCCTGCACAGTAGAGAGTCTTGCTTCTCTCTCCTGCTCATGCTCTCTCTCTCTCAAATAAATACATAAAATCTAAAAAAAAAAAAAAAAAAAAGTCTCAGAACTCAGTTTTTTTTTTTAAAGATTTTATGTATTTATTTGACAGAGAGAGTCACAGCGAGAGAGGGAACACAAGCAGGGGGAGTGGCAGAGGGAGAAGCAGGCTCCCCGCAGAGCAGGGAGCCTGATGTGGGGCTCCATCCCAGGACCCTGGGATCATGACCAGAGCCGAAGGCAGACGCTTAACGACTGAGCCACCCAGGCGCCCCAGAACTGAGATTTTGTAGGTACTGATTCACATTAACAAGGTTCATAAGCAACTGATGTACAAATCCTAAATGAGAATTAATTAATTTACAAAAAGTACTTAAGGGCATATCAACCCTCCCCAGGGCCTACTGCAATGGGAATTATTCTCAAAATGCATTGAATTAATAATCAGAAACTGGTAAACCTATTTCACGAGGGGCGAAGGTACAATCAGTTTGGTAGACAGAACCCAGGGGGCTTGTGACTAAATCTTTGCTGAGGGTCACCAAGTCACTCCAATCTGCTGTCCAGCGCCACATCTGGCTTCCCACCCCAGCACCACCAAAGGCAGAGTGACAGAGACCACCCTGCCGAGATCTTTCCCCAGGGCGCTGAGCGGGGAAGGAAGAAGACTCAGACGTAGGCAGGAAGGTAGGACTTGGAGGAGGAATGGAGTTCAGTGCCGGGGCCACAGAGAAAGAAAGATCAGAGACTGTCCCAGGCTCCCTGGCTCAGACCCAGGCAGGCGGAGGGGAGGACTCATTCATCCTAGGCCAGCCCCGGAGTGAGACCGCAGAGCTGCCTCGCCCGGCCCAGGCCGCGTGTCAAAGCGGGGAGGGGATTTCATCAGGCTCCCTCCCCCTGGGCCGGGCGCCTGGGAACCTGTTGGGACGATTTTAGTTTGGGGAGGGACGGAGGAGTTCCTGGCAGGGCGGGAACTTCAGGGCGACAGAAGCAGCCCCTTGGCCCGGGCAGCCCGGAGCGCGGCGGGCAGCCTGTCCCCGCTGGGACGACGAGGGCCTCGCGAGGTAAGCGGCGGGAGCTGGGTCCGGCCGACGGCGGGCCTCCCTGGGGAGGCGGGGGCGGGGCAGGAAGCGCCCCGGGTAGAAAAGCCGGAGTCCCGGGGTTCGAGCGGGAAGCAGCCGGCCCTGGGTCGCTCCTGGCATCCTCCCTTCCGGACTAGTCTTCAGGATGGCCGCTTGGGATCCTGCAACATTTTAAAAGTAGCATGTTGAGGGGCGTCTGGCTGGCTCAGTCGAAGGAGCATGGGACTCTTGATCTGGGGGGTCGTGAGTTCGAGCCCTAGGTTGGGTGTAGAGATTACGTAAATAAATAAATAAATAAATAAATAAATAAATAAGCGTTAAAAAAAAAAAGTAGCAAGCTGAGTCAGGAGTGGGGGGCTGTCTCTGGCTTCTCCCCCAGGGACATGGTGGGGGGACCAGGTAATGCCGTTCTCCTTCCCAGCCCTGCTCAATCACTGGCCTTCTCGCCCTTCATCCCATTTTCCACGATAACCAAAACCCCTCCCCACCTTTGTCCCCCAACTTTCCCCGCCCCCCACTCCCCCCTGCAGCTGAGCCAGTTCCTAGCCCGCCTGGGTTGGCCGACCTCTCCCCTGCCCCTCACTGGAGACCACAGCCAGGGAAGACATTCTCTCGGCTTCTTCCTGCTAGGCGCCTCCCTCAGGGTTGTTTCCTCCTTCCTGGTACGGGTATCTGAGGGATTTCACTCATTCGTTTATTATTCACTTGTTTATTCCTCACTGTTGGAGCGTAAACCTGCGTTCTGGGGGAGGGGGCACACAATCTCTGCTCTTCCTGGGAATAGGGAAACTGACCTTTATTTCACACACATTTAATAATTATAAGCTGGTGGGCCGTGTGGCCTAGGGTAAGATTATCTTGGAGTTGTCCGGACACTTGGATTCCTATCCCACCTGTCCTGTTTACTTCCTGAGCCCCGGTTTCCTCATCTGTAAAGTGGAGTTGCTGTGAAGATGATGTGAGAGATGCGTGTCATCCTCAATAAACACCACTGCTCTTACTCTTTCCCTTCTTCTTCGGCCCGTCCTGCCGCGCCCCTCCTCCCGCCACCTCCCCCGATCTGTAAGACCGCCCCTGGTCTTGAAAGCACTTAGGCAAAAGTGTAAACCCAGAATGGGTAGGGAAGGGAGAGGTGGAGAAGGGAGAGGGAGGCTCGGAAGGGGTGGGGGTGGGGCTGGATAGAGGAAGAGACCTTCCGTGGGTCTGAGGTAAGAACACCCGACCAGGGCTGGGACTCCAGGGGAGGGAGATGAAGTTCCCAGGAGGCTCTCCTGTGGTGTTTCTGAATTTGCACTCACACTGAGCAAGTGATGGGAAGTACCAATTCCTAAAACCAACTCTGCCTGGGCTCAGGCTAAGGGCTTTTAAATGCATTATATCACTGAATCATAACCCTGTTATATTATTATCCCCATTTCACAGATGAGGAAATGGAGATACTAACAGGCTAAGGCTAAGGGATTGCCTAAGGTCACATGGCTAGTAAGCAATGGATCCAGAGTTCAAATGTGAGTCAGACCCTAGACTCCATGCTCTTTGTTCAACTCCTTGCTGTCTTTCCAGTTCCTGTGTATCAGAAAGAACAAAACTTCCTAGACACCAGCTTCTCACTTCTATATATCTCCTGCTCTGGGCTGCTTCATTCCTGTGGGGAGGAGCACACTCCTTCCCGATTCATTAATTCATTCACTTATTCACCCATCATTCATTCAATCAAGTGCTCTGTTGGTCAAGAGGGCAGGGACCATTGTCTGTGTGTTCACAGTTGTGTAACCAGCACCTTGTATGACCCTAATACAGGAATGTTCGATGAATCCTTTGTGAGTAAGTGGGTCCAACAAACATTTTTTGATGCATTCTGTGGGCTCCCTCATAGGGATTCGTAGATGAATGAAACAGAAGTCCTATCCTCAAGACCCACACAGCCTTGTGGAGGAGATGGCGATAATACAAAGAAGAGATGGTACCCTAGACGGGAGCAGAGGCTGCAGAGGGAACTATGAGGGGCATTTTAATTCCACGATATCTGCCTTGTTCTCTACTGGATCCAGGGCCTAGCCAATGGCAGACTCATGGAAGATGCTTGTAAGGCTTTGCAGAGGAGATGTTTACGACAGTCTTGAAGCGGGTGTTAGAAGTTTACCAGGAGAGGGGCGCCTGGGTGGCTCAGTCAGATTCCGTGTTCAACTCTTGGTTTCTGCTCAGGTCATGATCTGAGGGTTGTGGGATTGAGCCCTCCGTTGGGCTCCATGCTTAGCATGGAGTCTCTGGAGATTCTCTCTCTCTCTCCCTCTCCTCTTGCCCCTCCCCTATTTGCTCTCTCTCTCAAATAAATAAATACAATCTTACCAAAAAAAAGAAAAGAAGTTTGCTAGGAGAACAAATTGGAGAAGGAAGCTATTCTAGTGGAGAGAGATGCTCATGAAAAGGCCTAGTGGAGGGCTGGAGCTGGAATTGCTAGGGGCTCAGTACGGCTGAAGTGTAGAGTGTCTATGGAAGAAGGAAGGATAAATAGGCAGGCCTCAGGCCGTGAGCCTTGTTAAGGAAACTAGATTTTACACCAAGTGTATTGGATAACCATTGAAGGGATTTAGCAAAACGAGGACACCATCTGACTTGTATTTCAGAAGTGTGGCTGATGCATGGGGGTCAGGGAAATGGCACCAAGATCTCTAGGTCTGACAGGGTTCCTCTCTGTCTGAGGAAATGAACCTTCCTCTTTAGGACCTGGGTTAGGACTTCCTTTTTAGGACTTCATAATGGTTCATGAAGGGCCTCCTAACTTGCCTTGTGTCCTGATCTACTGTGCTTTGTCCTCAGCTATATGCTGGGTGACTGCTAATCTATTCTTCTCTTTTTTTTCAAGTGATTTACATTTGTATAATCTGGAGCAAATTCTGGGGTATCCTGCTTGCTGATTTGTGCTCTATTATATAAAGGAGAGAGATGGAGTTGCGGGGCAGGGGGGCACCAGGAATTATGTTGGGCTCAGAATGTGCCCCGGGAGTTTGTGTTGAATATAGAACTGGGGGTATATGGACGTGGATAGCTTTCAGAGAATCAGTTTCCAGGCCCTCAGATTCCACAGGTATTCCTTCCTGAAAGCAATCTGACTGGATTTTTTTTTTTTTTTTAGATTTTGTTTATTATTATTATTTTTAAGTAGGCTCCACAGCCAGCATGGAGCTCAGTGTGGGACTTGAACTCATGACGCTGAGATCAAGACCTGAGCTGAGGGGTGCCTGGGTGGCGCAGTCATTGGGCGTCTGCCTTCCGCTTGGGTCGTGATCTCAGGGTCCTGGGATGGAGCCCCGCATCGGGCTCCCTGCTCAGCAGGAAGCCTGCTTCTCCCTCTCCCACTCCCCATGCTTATGTTCCCTCTCTCGTTTTGTCTCTCTCTCTCTCTGTCAAATAAATAAATAAAATCTTAAAGAAAAAAAAAGACCTGAGCTGAAATCAAGAGTTGGACACTTAAAACCAACTGAGCCACCCAGGCGCCCCCGACTGGATTCTTTTAAGTTCTCCTTGTGAACTCCTTCCTTCCTTCCTTCCTTCCTTCCTTCCTTCCTTCCTTCCGTCCTCGCTTGTTCTCTTTCTTTCTTTGTGGGCTTCATTCCCAACGTGCAGCTTGAACTCAAGACCCTGCGGTTAAGAGTTGCATGCTCCACTGCTGAGCCAGCCAGGAGTCCCTAACTCTGCTTTCATTATTTCCCTTCTCTAGCTCTGCTAGATTTGTCCTGAATCTTTCTATGGTGCATTGCTCGGGGCTATAAAAACCAGAAGGACACCTGGAGAATGCTTTGTTCCTGAGAGATCAGATAAGATAAACTGAAGGGGTGGTACCTTACTGCGGACTCTTAGAATTTACTTTTCATTTTATTTTATTATTATTTTTTAAGTAAGCTGTACACCCAGTGTGGGTTTTAGACTCATGACCCTGAGATTTGAGAGCACATACTCTACCAATTCGGCCAGCCAGGCACCCCAGCAACTAGAGGTTTAATAGGCTGCCCAAGGTCACAGAACTATTAAGTGGCAGAATCAGGACTTGAACTCCAGAACCTCCCCTCTAGAATTTGTGCTCTTATCCACTATCCTACTCTACTTTAATTTAAGTGCCTTAGCTCTTTATCTGTGTATTGTAGAATTAATTGGGACCTGAACTGGTTGTCACGGGGATATAGATAAACTCATTTATAGAAATTTAAAAAAATAAAGGTGGATTTTTCTTACAGGCAGAAAATTATTCTGCTTTGGCTAATTGGTTGGGCAGTGAGCACTGGCTTTGACAATTGGATTACATGGCAGACATTTTCCAAAAACTGAACAAACTAAATCTGTAATTCCAAGGCTTAGATGAAAACATATCTAAAGCATGTTTCTTTTTTTTTTTTTTTAAAGATTTTATTTATTTATTTGACAGAGAGAGACACAGCGAGAGAGGGAATACAAGCAGGGGGAGTGGAAGAGGGAGAAGCAGGCTTCCCGCTGAGCAGGGAGCCCGATGCGGGGCTCGATCCCAGGACCCTGGGATCATGACCTGAGCCGAAGGCAGACGCTTAACGACTGAGCCACCCAGGCGCCCCACTAAAGCATGTTTCTAATAAGACTATGCCAGAAAATTCTGTCTTGGAACCTATTTTAACTTGTGAAAAAGATTTTATTCATTATCATACAATGTGTGCGAGGGTCATAGCTTTTTCAAAATCTAATGGGGATTCGTGAGCAAAACAATGTGAAGACTTCTGGCATATGGCTCATACACATCACTGGCCATGTGTGTCATGCTGGGGATGAGGCTCCTGATCAGGTGAGCTGAAGTGGCTTGTCCACGGGGCAGAAGTGAAGCAAGATCAGGCATTTCTGATGCTATGATTTCTATTACTCCATACTTCCTACCTTCTTCATTTCTTTCTTTTTTTTTTTTTAAAGATTTTATTTATTTATTTGAGAGAGAGAGAGAATGAGAGCGAGAGAGCACATGAGAGGGGGGAGGGTCAGAGGGAGAAGCAGACTCCCTGCTGAGCAGGGAGCCCGATGTGGGACTCGATCCCGGGACTCCAGGATCATGACCTGAGCCGAAGGCAGTCGCTTAACCAACTGAGCCACCCAGGCACCCTACCTTCTTCATTTCTTGATGCTTTATTCAGCAAACATTTACTGAGCACCTACAAATGGAGTAAAAACTACACATTTTCTACTTTTTCTGGAATTTATATTCTAGTAGAAAAGACAGTGAATAAACACATCCGATATTTTTAGATAGTGACAAGTGCTGGGAGCAAATAAGCAAGGGAATGTGCTAGAATATATGCGGTGGGCAGAGGAGTGGGCCAGGGGAGACTTCCTAGGGAGGTGCTCTTTGTTATGAAGGATGTAGCCTTGTGTATATATGTTAGAGTGTGTGGGAGGGGTGGAGGAGAGAGGTTTAGGTCAACGGAACAGCAAGTGCAAAGACCCTGAGGCAGGAGAGAGCTTGGGGTATTCTTGGGATAGGAAGAACTGTGGAAAACAATATGGAGGTTCCTTAAAAAATTAAAAATGAAAATAGCATATGATCCAGTAATTCTAATTCTGGGTATTTACTTGAAGAAAACAAAAAACGCTAATTCAAATAGATGTATGCACCCCTATGTTTATTGTAGCATTATTTACAATAGCCATGATATGGAAGCAACCTAAGTGTCCATCAGTAGATGAATGGGTAAAGAAGATGTGATATATATATAATGGAATACTACTCTGCCATAAAATAGAATGAAATCTTGCCATTTGTAACAACACGGATGGACCTAGAGGGTATTATGCTAAGTGAAATAAATCAGACAGAAAGAGAACTACCATATGATTTCACTTATATGTGGAATCTAAAAAACAAAGCAAATGGATAAACAGATAAACAAAAACAGAAACAGACTCATAAATACAGAGAAGAAACTGATGGTTGCCAGAGGAGAGGGGGCATGAGGGGATAGGCGAAATAAGTGAAGGGGATTGAGGGGTTAAACTTCCACTTATAAAATAAATAAGTCACGGGGATGAAAAGTACAGCGTAGGGAATATAGTCAATAGCACTATAATGATGTCGTATGGTGATAGATGGTAACTACACCTATTGTGGTGAGCATTTTGTAATGTATATAATTGTCAAGTCGTATATTATACACCTGAGACATAATATTTTATGTCAACTATACTTCAATAAAAAGATACATATATTTGTATATAAAAGAAAGAACAGAGATGTTGCGGGGAGAGTGGTAAAATTCCACAAAGAAGACAGGAGCTAGGTCATGCAGGACCTTACCAGCCCTGGTAAGGATCCTGTATTTATCTCGAAGACAGTGAGAAACCATTGAGAGGTTTTGAGTAGAGAGTTGCTCTACTCTGATTTATGGTTGTGTTTGTTTGCTTTGGAGTGGGGCAGGAGTAGAAACCGAGATGGAGAATATTTCAGGTAGGACACCAGCGGTCTACTCTATGGAGGGATACCAAGATGAACAATGTCAATGGGAGGCAGAATGGTACAGGATGCCATTCTGTTGCTCTGGAATCTGGGCAGAGTCCAGCTGAGCAGTTCTGCTCTGTGTGGTGTTGGTTGGCTGGGGGTCACCGACTTGGCGGTCTTCAGTTGGTGGATGAGCCGGGCTGTAAGGTCTAAGAAGGCTTCACTTAGGGGTGCCTGGGTGGCTCAGTTGGTTGAGCGTCGGACTCTTGGTTTCAGCTCAGGTCATGATCTCAGTGAGGGTCTTTAGAGTGAGCTCTGTGTCTACTTGGAGATTCTCTCCTCTCCCTCTGCCCCTCCCCCTACTCCCACATGCACACATTGTTTCTCTCTCTCAAATAAATAAATCTTAGAAGAAAAAAAAGGCCTTACTTATGCATAGGTCTGGCACCCCTATGGTCTTGCGCATGACCTCTCTCTCCATACGATTAGATTGGGCTTCATCATAACATGGTGGCTTCAGGGTAATCAACCTTTTTTAATTTTTTAATTTTTTTCTTTCCACAACTTCACAACTTTCTTTTTTTTGACTTTCACAAGAATTTTATTTTTTTAATTTAAATTCAATTAATTAACATATCATGTATTATTAGTTTCAGAGGTAGAGGTCAGTAATCATTGGTCTTATATAATACCCAGTGCTCATTACATCACATGCCCTCCAACCTTCTTTTTTAATTATTATTTATTTATATATTTTTAAAGTAAGCTCTACACCCAATGTGGGGCTTGAACTCATGACCCCAAGATGAAGAGTTGCATGCTCCACTGACTGAGCCAGCCAGGCACCCCAGTAGTCAACCTTCTTATGGTCTTAGGCTTCCAAGAAGAACAAGAGTGGGGCTGCAGATCTCTTAGGGCCTGGCCTTGGGATGTACTACTTCTGCCACATATTACTGGTCAAAACCTGTCACAGGGCTAGCCCAGATTCAAGGGCAGGAGAAACGAACCCCACCTCTTAGTGGGAGGAATGGCAAATAATATACTCCATCTTTAATCTGTCACACGAAGCTTCTGGGAACTGATTAACCATGATCACCCTGATGGTGCTGAGTCACTTATAAATCTAAACTATAGTATACTGTGCTGGGACAATTTATAGATCTTTATTCCTCACCGGATAGGGAGGACCTAGGAATAGGAGGTGTTTTTTTTTGTTTGTTTTTTTCTTACGTTTCCAGAGCCCAACATATAGAAGACGTTCAGGGAATGCTTGTCCAGTGAATGCATACATAATATAAGAATTCATTGCTTATCAAACCACAGTATACATACGAATCCGCTGAAGAGCTGTCAAAAAGGCATGCAGATTCCTGGGCAAGACCTCAGCCCAGACCCTCTGAATCCAGATCTCTAGGGTAGGGGTTTTTAGTCTGGGCTACACATTAAAATATACCAGTATTCAGGCCCTAGCTCCAGAGGCTCTGATGCCATTGGTGGATGAGCTGGGCTCATGAGCCCAGACGTCAATATTTTTTTACAGTCTTCTCAGATCATTTGATGTAGGTGGTCTATGAGAGGTGACTGTCCTCAGTTTGCCTGGGACTGTCCTGATTTTAGCATCCCAAGTCCCACATCTCAAGAAATCCCTAGTCCTGTGCAAACTCTCACAGTTGGTCACTCTCGATGGACCACTATTCAAGAAACATTGTAGAAGAGGCGGTGAAAGCCCTTTTGAAGAATAACTACAAATATCTAATGAGAGCAATGCTTCTGCCTCCTTACTTAGGGGACTGACAGCGTACTATCGAAATGCTGTCAAACAGAGTCAACTCCTCGAATGAAGGCGGAGATGGCTCAGGGTCAGTGTTTTCCTTCAGCTCTGTACTCTGGTAGACTTGGTTAACCTACTTAAATAGGGTGTCCATCTCTGGGAAATCTTCCAGACTATATTCCTTAGTGTACATGAGGCAGCTTTGGAAGCCTGACCACAGTCAGCAAGGATGATGTGTGGAGGATAGTAGGAGACACAAGATGAAGTTCTTGTGTCTCTATGCCTGTGTGTATTGTTATTACTATTATATTGTAATAAGGTACAAAGTTATATGTCCTCTCTTAGGTAGTGCTGGGGGAAGCAGTGTGGATAGTGGAGAGCCCATCTAGCCTCAGAAAAATGGGTTTGGGTCTCAGCTTTGGTGTGACTAGGTAGGTATACGGTCATGGGTGCCTCTTTTGCTTTAGTTGTTCATCTATAGAATGGGCCTAGTAATGACGTCATCCTCATAGGGAGGATCCATTGAAATAGTATAAGTGAAAGTGGCTGGAGCCTGGGAAGGGGGTAGTGTGATTGTTGTTGAGTGGGGGAGATGCAAAGAAATTATTCTGCTGAGAGGCCTTGCTCAGGACCAAGGCCCTGGCCCCCCCACCCTGAACCACAGCCCCAGTTGTGTGGGATTCCAAGGAAGAAGCTTTTAACATGTCGTGGGCATGCACAGACCTCAGGAAGCAGTGTCTCTACCTTAGTTGCCCTCACAGAGAGTGCAAGTTTGCTTTGTTTTAGGAATAAGAAAAACTTTTGGAAAAGGGGGTTTGTGAAGGCATTTTTTTGTTTTTAAATCGTTCGCTTATTTATTCCAAGTGTATTCTCAGAGATGTAGCAAAAAGAAAACCACCTCAGCCACAAACCCATAATATTGAAAAGCTGGTTCTTAATTTCTGTAGCTAAAAGTACTCTTTCAGTCTATAACCACAGAGATTGCTGCAGGCCTCTGGAACGGGGCATAATGATGGTTTGCAGTGTGATGAAGGAGGCTGTTAATCTCTGTGGCCCAGAAGCCCAATCCATGGCCTCTCCAATTACCCAGGTTGCCTAGCAACACCACCAAAAGCCTCCCCACCAGGCCCAGCTGGGCAAAAATTGGGTACACCCAGCACAGCCTGCCGCCCAGCCTCCTGCTCCCAGGCCACATGAAAGCTAGACTCAGCCTTGGCAGGGGCCCGCCTGGTACCAACGAATGGGTGGGGCCAGCTGTTTAAAGAAACAATTCAGATATTTAAAACCTACTCATGTGAATGCAGCTAGGAAAGCTGCACAAACTAATGATCCAAAGTCTCTTCTGCCAAAGAGGAGTTGTCCTAAGGTGGGTGGCCTTGCCTGTGCTCTCCTGGGTGAGGTGAAGGAGGGAAGGTGAGCCTGACTTAGACGTTTGGGTTCTCAGAGAGGCAAGTCCTTTTCCTTTCCTGGGTGCCTGTGTCCATCTTGACTCTCTGTGGCAGCAGTGGGAATGCTGGGGATTCCCAGCCCCAGACTCTGGGCCGATGACCTGCTGCTTCGACAGCCCCCATTCGGAGACTCCTGGGCTCTAGTCCGGGTCTGTTTGGGCAGCTGGAGGAAGAAGCAGGAGATTAGGGAAGAGGGAAGGATGGTGCATAGAAATCACAAGGCAGAGGAACACTCAAGGTCTGTGGAGTGAGACACCCCGGGCTCCTCTCCCAGCCCTCCCCTCACTGGCTACATTATCTTGATCAAGATCCTTTGGAAGCCTGAGTTTCCTTATCTATACAATAGGGATGTTATTATTTTATTTTTTTATTTTCATTTTTTGTTATTATCCTGTTTTATAAGGTGGTTGTGAACATTAATGAAGAGAATGCTCATCAAGTGCTTAGCATAGAATCTGGCATGTAGTAAGTGCTCACTATTTTTTTTAATTTTTTAATTTTAATTTTAATTTTTTTAAATTTATTTGACAGAGAGAGACACAGTGAGAGAGGGAACACAAGCAGGGGGAGTGGGAAAGGGAGAAGCAGGCTTCCCGCTGAGCAGGGAGCCCGATGCAGGGCTCAATCCCAGGACCCTGGGATCATGACCTGAGCCGAAGGCAGACACTTAACCGACTGAGCCACCCAGGCACCCCTATTTTTTTTAAAGATTTATTTATTTATTTATTTGAGAGAGAGAGAGAGTGAGCGAGAGAAAGAGAGAAGGAGCAGGAGGAGGGGCAGAGGGAGAAGCAGACTCCCCGAAGAGCAGGAAGCCCGATGCGGGACCCTGGGATCATGACCTGAGCCGAAGGCAGCCGCTTAACTGACTGAGCCACCTAGGTGCCCCTAGTAAGTGCTCACAATTATGGCAACTCTTATTATTTCATTTGCTTCTTACAATAATTCTGTAAGATACTGAGGGGAGAAAGGGGGTCTATTTTACAGCCGAGGAAACTGAGGCACAGTGAAATTAAGGGGTATACTGGGAGCAGAACTTGGTTCTTCACAGTGCCAAACACAAAGTCAGGTGACAAGCCCTTTCGTAGCCATTACAGAATGGTGGCTTTGCCTGTCTCCTCTGATGGCTCAGTGATGGCAGAATGATAATGGGGTGAGGGGGTAGGGTGTAGAGGAAAAGGGTGGTGGAAAGCACTTTTCAACATAAAGTGATATAAGACTCTTGGTTGATGTGGTCTGGATAGTATTCCCCTCTCCTTCCTTCCAGTATTCTTTTAAATAAACTTCTTTATTTTGGAATAATTTTAGATTTACAGAAAAGTTGCAGAGAATTTGTTTACCCTTTACGCAGATGCTAGTATTTTCTGAAAACACCTCCTGTGTGCCAGGAACTTTCTGGGCAGAAGGAATACAGCAATAGAACTATCTCTGCTCTCCACTGGAAGATCCCAGAGTTTGTGAGAGGAGTGGACCCTGGAGTCCTTAGTTTGTGGTTCTCGAAGGTATTGCTGCCTCCATGTCACTTGTCAGAGATCTGCTAAATCTATTAAGTTAGTGTTTTCAGGAGTGGGGCCCAGGAAGCTGTATAAAAACAAATGTTGAAAAAACAAACGTTCGAGGGGATTCTAAGGCAGAACTTGTTTGGGGAATTCGTGGTCTGGTGCAGCGTGTCCATTTCCCTGTGCAGGTGAGAGAGCACCATGGCTCAGAGCGTGGAAGCCACTGGCCCCAGCTCACACAGCCAGGAAGTGGCAGAGTCTAGACCAGAAAGCAGGTCTCCTGGTTCTATGCTCTCCTTACACTGTGATTCCCTAATGCAGAACAAGAAATGAGTTTAACTTGCAACAGGAACACCCCAGGTAGAGTTTAGAAGAGTTTCTTGGGTATTCAGGCGTTACTAGTTAGGTTCTTGGCTGCAAGGGACAGAAACGGATTCTGGCTGATGACTCCTGTAAATGAGTTTTATTGCAAACACATTGGGTAGGGAAAGAAAAATGATTTCTCGACTCCTGCTCACACTTCTGATGCCAGATATGTGGGTTTTTCACGCCAAGCAATTCTGACACCAACTACCCCCCTGGTTAAGGGCTCAGTGCCCTCTGACTGCTCCCTACTTAAGACGCCAGGTGCGAGTCTGGGCTTCTGATCAACTGGCTATTAATTGGGGTTCCTATGACCCCCTCCTTGGGCTTAATAATTTGCTAGAACAGCTCACGGAACTTAGGAGAGGGCTTTACTTATTATTATTGTTTTTTTATGTAAAGGATACAACTCAAGAACGGCCAAATGGAAGAGATGCATGGGGCAGGGTGGATGGGAAAGGATGCAGAGCTTCCACGCGCTCTCTAGGTGTTTCATTCTCCCAGCGCCTCACTGTGTTTACCAACCTGGAAGCTCTCTGCATCTTCTGTTTAGAGTCTTCATCGAGGTTCCATTACATAGGTGTGATTGGCTATTGACCATTGCTGATTAAAATCAATTTCTTGCCCTTCTTCCCTTGCCGGAGGTGGGGCTGAAAGTTCCAACCCTCTAATCACATGGTTATTTCCTCAGGCAACCAGCCCCCATCCTGTGGGAGTCGCTTCCTTGGAGTGCCAGCTCAGGTCTGGTTCAAAGGGGCTTATACGAATAACAGAAGATGCTCCTCCCACCCCTGTCCCTCAGGAAATTCCGAGGGTTTTAGGAGCTCTGTGCCAGGAACTGGGGGTGAAGACCAAATAGATATATCTTAGTATATCACAGTATCACAGGTAGGTTACAGAATCATTGGAAGGCTGCAGAAACAAGGTTTGGGAAACACGCTGAGACGAAAGGAGACCAGGTACCTAGATCTACACCAAAACCACGTTGCAGGGCCAGGCAGGTGAAGCAGGCCCCATGGCCGCTGTGTGCTCAGTGCGGCAGCCTGCTTGGAAGATACAGCTGGCCTTGGGTGCCCGATGCCACCCTGTCCCCAACCGCGTGCACGCTGGATATGCTGCTTTATAGTGCACCGCTGTAAAGAACTTAGCCAGTCTTCAAGCTCCAGCCTCAAGAATCCTAAGCCAGTGCGGCTGATTGATGAAGCCAAAGTCACGACCTGAGCCTTAGCTGCCTAGGGACCTGGAACCGAGAGGACTGGGGATTTTTACCTTCTGTAGCGGGAAGTGGTCCTTGCTGCCCGCCAGGATTCATGAGATGTAGAATTCCCCAAGAACCCTGACAAACGGCCATTATGTAAGTGTTATCAAAAGAAGACACTGGGAGCCCTTGACATTTGCAGCTTCAACACTTACGGTTTTTGCATTTCATTAGCTACGCCCAAAGGCCCTTTGTAAATGGACGTGAATTGAATGACTTTGCTGGAGCCAGTCATTTCCTAGTGAGTGAGCCAGGCCTGCCATGCCACTTGGACATCTCACGGGATTTCACTCTTCTCTACGAGTTCCAGCCTGTAGGTAACCTGCGTGCAGTGACTAAAATCTTTGTTTCTTGTTGGAGGAGTAGAAAAGCCTCCTAAAAATAAATCACTTGATAGTGCTAGAAATAGAAATGAGAAGAAAGTGAAGAAGGTTGAGAAACTGACTTTTTTTTTTTTGTGGCCACAAATAGAGGTTTCGGATAAACTTGGCATGGAATGCCAAGTTCAGCGGTGCCTAGGATCTCTGATACCAAGCGAGCTACCATGTGTGTCACATAGATAAAAGGAAAAGTGCTTTGGGAAGTTTTTTTTTTTTTAAGATTTTATTTATTTATTTGACAGAGAGAGACAGCGAGAGAGGGAACACAAGCAGGGGTAGTGGGAGAGGGAGAAGCAGGCTTCCCGCGGAGCAGGGAGCCCGATGCAGGGCTCAATCCCAGGACCCTGGGATCATGACCTGAGCCGAAGGCAGACGCTTAATGACTGAGCCACCCACGCGCCCCAGGAAGTTGTTAATGAGTGCTTCAGCCAGTGCAGAAACTGCTCTTCGAGAGAGAGGTTAAACTTTACTTAAAGATGAAGAGGCACAATTAACTAACCGAGGTTCTATTTTCTTTTCTTTGGGACTTTGGGTGCAAAGTGTTGAACATAGTTAATTAATACTCCTCACACAACAGACTTTATAAATAAGTTTACATCTGCATTTATAGAATTATTTAGGGTCTGAAATGCAATCACTTAAAAACTTTACGGTTATAATTTATAACACAATTTTGGGAGACACTATGTGGTATATTAAGGCTCCTGAAACGTCTTTGGAAAAAATCCCTTGCCATTGTCAAGGATCTCCCGTGTAAATCTCCTTATGGAAATCTTTTTTTCTACATTTTTTTTTCTTTAAAAGCAGAAGAGTGTTCTGGGTAAATGAGCACAGCTCCACCCTTTCCAATCCTTGGCCAACACAATGGCTTCATGATTCATAACCTGAGCAATGCTTATCCCAGATAAAGTCAGGATGTAGGGAAGTTCTTTCCACTTTTCCTCTTAAGAATACTTCCCGGGGCGTCTGGCTGGCTCAGTTGGTAGAGCATGTGACTCTTGATCTCAGGGTCGTGAATTTGAGCACCATGTTGGGTGTGGAGCCTACTTGAAAAAAAAAATAAAAAAGGAAACTTGCCAACCATGAAGGGAAGGTCTTTGGCTTTTGGTTCACAGGGGGAATATCATTTTTTAAAAAAAGATTTTATTTATTTATTTGACAGAGAGAGAGACAGCGAGAGAGGGAGCACAAGCAGGGGGAGTGGGAGAGGGAGAGAAGCAGGCTTCCCGCTGAGCAGGGAGCCCGATGCGGGGCTTGATCCCAGGACTCTGGGATCATGACCTGAGCAGAAGGCAGACGCTTAACAACTGAGCCACCTAGGCGCCCCAACATCCTTTTTAACAATCTACCCTCATTGTTCCATACTAGTAGGATGAGAACTTTCCACAGCAGTGCCACCCAGTTTTGATCTGTATGTGTGTGTGCATGTGTGTGTGAGAGAGACAGAGACAGAGAAAGAGGGATGGATTTCAACAAATTGTTGACCTCCGTCCGCTAAAGATAAAAGGTAGGAGGTGAGGCATAACATCAAGCCAACATTAAGGAAAGCCCAAGAAACTCGGATGATCTTTGCTTAGTGGGTAAGAAAGCACAGTCAGTGCAGTAAATAATTCCACTCCATAGATAACACAGTGATGAGAGTGACCAAGTGAATAATTTGATAGCTGAGATGCTTTTATATCTGTTAGACTATATGATGTGTTGTAATCATTGCTGAGTTGTTTTGAGATTCCTGCTTCATTTAATTGGGACTTCAAAAATTCTGGTAATCTGATGTATGCTTCCAGAGACTCTATCCCCACTCTGACCTGTAGAGCCTATGGAGTATCTGGACCACACCCATGCAAGGACAGAATTAATGGTTATAACCTTAGATTAGCCTGGAGAGGAAAACCTTGGACCCAGGAGCAGTGGTGCTGGTGAGCTGATTTCAGCACAGTATAAGGAAGAACTACCTAAGAATTAGAACTGTCAGGGGGAGCCTGGGTGGCTCAGTCGTTAAGCGTCTGCCTTCGGCTCAGGTCATGATCCCGGGGTCCTGGGATCGGGCCCCCGCATCGGGCTCCCTGCTCGGCAGGAAGCCTGCTTCCCCCTCTCCCACTCCCCCTGCTTGTGTTTCCTCTCTCGCTGTGTCTCTCTCTGTCAAATAAATAAATAAAATCTTAAAAAAAAAAAAAAAGAATTAGAACTTTCAGAAAATACAACAACCCTATTGAAGTATATTCTGGTTCTTTGTAATTTTTCACTACTGTAAGTAGTTCTGCACTGAACATCTTTGAAATACAGCTTTGTGTACTTCTCAAATACATTTGCAGGATAGATTCCTAGGAGTAGGGTGATTCCATTGAAAGGTATATGCTTTTCATATTTTCTGGGTACTGCCCAATTGCCTTCCCAAAAGACTGCACCTATTTCCCACAGCCTCATGAGTATGGATAACCCTTTTCTTTCTTTCTCTTTTTTTTTGGATAATCTTTTTCATTGTTTGATCAGGAATGTTTCCAAAATGGTGAACTGTGCTCAGGAATTCAGGTGTGGGAGCAGAAGATAAACAGGAGTGGGAGGGCCAGGGAATGCCGGAGTCTGGAAGCATACCTGTGAGCATTGAGCAGCAGATGTCGGAGAGATACTTAATCAAGGAGGCACACAGACAGGGCTCGAAGTCAGAGTGTGACCATCACTGAGAAGAGAGGTAAAACCAACATGCTGCAGTTACTACCAACATTTTCGTCTGTTGCTAGCGTCTGAAGTAGCTGGAACTACAGGTCAGATCTCTCTGCTGTGTGTGCCAAGGAAGAAAGCAGACCCGCAGTGAGTTTTGGCGAAGCCCAATGGGTCAGATATCTTTGCAGCACAGGAAATCCATTTCTCTAAACTACCTAAAATGCTGGGCTTGACTCTCTAAAATTTCTAGGAAATTTGAAATCTAGAGAAAAAATTTTGAGGAAATGTCATCCTTAGGTTTTTTTTAGCTCCTTTTTTAGCTATAAAGTTGTATTAACAAGGTAGAATTTCATTTCCTCATAAAGTGATCGTGTATGGTATTTGAATTTACAGTAGGACTCATTAATACAATGTTAATCATCCCTAACTGAACTTTTTATTTATTTATTTGAACATTTTATTTTACTTATTTATTTATTTATTTATTTATTATTTTTTTTAAATGGCTCTTTTTTTTTTAATGGCTCTTTTTTTTTTTTAAGATTTTATTTATTTATTTGAGACAGAGAGAATGAGAGACAGAGAGCATGAGAGGGAGGAGGGTCAGAGGGAGAAGCAGACTCCCCGCTGAGCAGGAAGCCCGATGCGGGACTCGATCCCGGGACTCCAGGATCATGACCTGAGCCGAAGGCAGTCGCCCAACCAACTGAGCCACCCAGGCGCCCTATTTTACTTTTTTAAAAGTAATCTCTACACCCAACATGGGGCTCAAACTGACAACCTTGACATTAATAGTTGCATGCTGTACTGACTGAGCTAACCAGGGGCCCTTGAACTATTATTAATTTTTAAAGATTTTATTCATTTATTTATTTTAGAGAGAGAGAAAGTGCGAGCGGGGGTGGGGGATGGAGGAGCAGAGGAGAAGGAAAAGCAGATTCTTCCCTGAGTGCAGAGCCTGACATGGGGCTCGATCTCTCAACAGTGAGATCATGACCTGAGCCTAAACCAAGAGTTGCACGCTCAACCCACTGAGCCACCCAGGTGCCCCTGAACTTACTTTTAAAATGCTTGAGTATTTGCTGTTAAAAGCTACAGATCTTAAATCCACATTGTTTTGCCAATTATGAGAAGTTGTGAATCTAGAAATAACATCATTCAAGGAAAATTAATGAAGGTCTACAGACTCAGTGTCTGACCCAGGGAGGTTGGGTAAGTGGGAGGGTGGGAGATGTAGGGGAGGGAACTTTCTTCTCAGAAAAGTTGCTGGGGAAAAGTAATATAAAAGGGGATTTCTCTTCTTCCCTAAATTTACTGAATATGATCTATTGTAATGTGGAAATTGCCTAATGAACTATTTTTAAAAACAAATTCAATAGGAGTTGATTCCCAGTAACTTGCAGTGTGAAAATAGGCCCTACACTTAGCCCCATCCCTTTTGTCTTTCCATCCTTCCAGCCAACCATCCACACACCCACTCATCCATCTATAGCAAATAATAACTAACAATTATGGAGTGTTTACTATGTGCCAGATACTATTCTAAGTGCTTTACATGCATTGCCTTGAACAATCTTTCCAACAATGCTATAAGGTAAGTTCTATTATTATCCCCACTTTATTTTTATTTTTTTGAATTATCCCCGTTTTAAAATGGAATCTGAGAGTTTCCCAATAAATTATAGAATTACTGTATAGCTCAGCAATTCCACTCCTAGGAACATACCCCAAATAACTGAAAACAGGAATTCAAACAATGCACAGGGGTGTTCATAGCACCTCCATTCATAGTAGTCAAAGATGGAAACAATCTAAATGTCCTTCAACAGACGAATGGATAAACAAAATGTGTTTATAGGGGCACCTGGATGGCACAGTCGGTGAGCATCTGACTCTTGGTTTTGGCTCAGGTCATGATCTCAGGGTCCTGGGATCTAGCCCCATGTGGGGCTCTGTGCTCAGCATGGAATCTGCTTGTCCCTGGCCCTCTGGTCCTCCCCCTGCTCGTACTCTCTCTCTCACTCTCTTGCTCTTTCTCTCCATGTATCTCTGAAGTGAATAAATAAAACGTTTTAAAAAATGGGTTTATATATCTATACAATGCAATATTATTTAGCCATAAAAAGGAATGAAATACTGGGGTGCCTGGCTGGCTCAGTCAGTGGAGCAGGTGACTCTTTTTTTTCTTTTTCAAGTTTTTATGCAATTCCAGTTAGTTAACATACAGTGTAATGTTAGTTTCAGGTGTAGAGTTTAGTGATTCATCACTTACATACAACACTTGGTGCTCATCACAACAAGTGCCGTCCTTAATCCCCATCACCTATTTCACCCATTGCCACCTCCCCCCCAGGATGCTTGATCTCAGGGTAGTGAGTTCAAACCCCATATTTGGGTGTGGCACGTACTTAAAAAAAAAGGAACGAAGTACCGATATAGGGCCACAACCCAGATGAACCTTGAAGACTTACTATTACTGAGAGAAGCCAGACTCAAAAGGCCTCATATTGTATGATTCCATTTTCATGAAATATCCAGAATAAGTAAATCCATAGAGACAGAAAGCAGATTAGTGGTGGCCATGGGCTGGAGGGAGGTGGCCACAGAGAGATTGCTTAATGGGCATGGGGTTTTTGTCTGAGGCAATGAAAAAGTTCCTGAACGAATAGTGGTGATGGTTGCCTAACATTGTACATGTACTTAATGCCACTGAATTGTACACTTTAAAATGGTTTAGGTGGTAAATTTTATGTTATGTGTATTTTACCATATTTTAAAAAAATGTAATTTGAGGCTCAGAGAATTTAAGTGACTTACCTACGTTAACAGCTGACATGTAGTGGAGCTGTGTTCTAATCCCAGTCATCTGGCGCCATGGATCATGTTTTTTAAAAAAATTACAGTGAAAAACTTTATTTGGGGTCATTTAGGAAATTTAGATACATTAACCTAAGCTGAAAATATCAGTATTCTAAGATCTCATTGGTGAAGCACATATTGGTGACACAAACACTAGATCTAATCTTCACAATGACTTTGAAAGTTTCGCATCATTTAGTTTGTGTGTGTGTGTGAAATATACAGAACTTAAAATTTACCATTTTAACCATTTTTAAAAAATTTTTTAAGATTTTATTTATTCATCTGAGACACAGAGATACAGAGAGAGAGAGAGCATGAGCAGGGAGAGAGGCAGAGGGAGAAGGAGAAGCAGACTCCCCGCTGAGCAGGGAGCCCGACGCGGGGCTCGATCCCAGGACCCTGAGATCATGACCTGAGCCGAAGGCAGACGCTTAACCATCTGAGCCACCCAGGCGCCCCGCATTTTAACCATTTTTAAGTGTACAGCTCAGTGGTATTAACTACATTACGTTGTTGTGAAACTCTCACTACCATCCATCTCCAGAACTTTTTTGTCTTCCCAAACTGAATCTTTGCACTCATTAAATACACAACTCCCCATTTTCCCCCACTCCCCCCACTCCCTGGCAACCACTATTCTGTTTATGATACCAGGCCCAGAGCCATTCCTGGGGTTGCAGAGAAAAATAAGACAAGGCCATGCCCCCGGTCTGTGTTTTTGTCCTCTAGTGACCTTGCCACTAGCTCTTCTTCACTGAGTCAGAGAAGTCCAGCTGCAAGACAAGAGTTCTGTTGAAGCAGGCCGAAGGGATGCCTGTGCGTGGGGAGCAGGAGAAGGAAGTCAGTGAATGAATTATGGTTGAGATGAAAGATGGAGGAAGAGATTTCAACAGGGAAGTCTGTTGGGAATGTTGAAGATGAGAATTGGGAATATAATCATTGCCTTCTTTTTACTTCAGATAATTCTGAGGAGTTCGTGAGATTTTGCAGTGGAGATATGCTTTGACATGCCAAGGGTGCTCTGCATATGTGCTGTGCATACGTGGTGCTCTCACATCACTCCGGAAGTGGATTTGTTTGAACGGCATAACTCAGGAGATCAGTTTCAATGGGGCATGCAGATGACTAGCTGGTTAGGGTATCGATTCCTCCTTCAAGACATTGGGCCACAAAGTGGAGGGCAGAAATAGTACAGTAGTTGAGATGTTAGGATCAGGTAAAGGTGTCATAGATATGGCTTTATTAGTTTTTTAAAAAATTAAAATAGTAATACATACTTTAAAAAAATCAAATAAGGGTGCCTGGCTGGCTCAGTCGGTAGAGTGTGTCACTTTTTTTTTTTTAAAAGATATTTTTGGGCGCCTGGGTGGCTCAGTTGGTTAAGCGACTGCCCTCGGCTCAGGTCATGATCCTGGAATCCCGGGATCGAGTCCCGCATCGGGCTCCCTGCTCGGCAGGGAGTCTGCTTTGCCCTATGACCCTACCCCCTCTCATGTGTTCTCTCTCATTCTCTCTCTCTCAAATAAATAAATAAAATAAAATAAAAATCTTAAAAGATATTTTTTTTATTTATTCATTTGAGACAGAGAGATACAGAGAGAGAGCATGAGTAGGGGGAGAGACAGAGGCAGAGGGCGAAGCAGACTCCCTGCTGAGCCGGGAGCCCGACGTGGGGCTTGATCCCAGGACCTGGAGATCACAACCCGAGCTGAAGTCCGTTGCTTAACCATCTGAGCCACCCAGGTGCCCCAGAGTGTGTCACTCTTGATCTTGGGGTTGTAAGTTCAAGATCCTCATCAGATGTAGAGATTACTTAAAAACAAACAAAAAAACCAAATATAAACAGAGGTGGATTTTCTCTGAAGCTAATAAAGCTTAAACTTCAGATCTGTCACTTGCATGGGCTCCTTCAAAGGCTGTGTATCCACTTTTGCAATTTTTATATTTTGTAATATTAATTTTATATTATTTTTCCCAAAGAAAACCCCCCAAATTGTTTACACTTCAGCTCCACAATAGAGGGCAAAAATCTAGTGAATCCCACCATGCAGATAATGATAATTCTCCACATTTCTTCCTGTATGTGTATCAGTACATTACTTTTTGCAAAGATTGGATTTTACTCTATGTACTATTTTGCAACATTATTTTTTTCCCTTCATTTTTGAGCCCCCTCTCCCCCAACTTTGACCACAGAAACATGTGAATGATTTAAGTAGTTTAACCAGGAGTAAAAAATAACAGAACCAGACCAACAGGAGAAGGCTAGAACATGGCAGAGGGCATGGCACGGGGAAAGGAGAGAGTATGTGGATCAGTCCTCACTGTTACAGACATGCTGCCTTGGTGTCTTATGCACCTGCTTGGTGTCCTCTATCACAGTGTAATGATGTAATTATCTGTATGATTTTAATTGACCTCTGTCTCTTCCATTACGTTGTAAACACTTTGGGGTGGATGGTAGCCTGATACATAGGTGTTTCGTAGATATTTACTGAATAAATGCTTGAATAATTGAATGTTGAGGATTGAGTTCAAGGAAATACTTGATGTGGAAATTAGTAGGAACTCTGCCAAGAGCTTCAGATGTCCAAGAGTTGCTGGGAAGATGTGTTTCAGGAAGGGTATTGACCTTGTGCCTGGAGAACCAGTAAGGAATGGCCTTCCTAACTCAAGTGTGCTACAGAATGGGCAATGCTGGTATTTTAGAAAGGACACTGGCAATTTAGAGAAGGTGTAGGTTTGAATCTTTTGAGGGGGGCAGGGTGTGTAGCTCAGTTTTTTATCTATAAATGGGACTACAAATCCCTACCTTCTGGGGTTATTATGGAAGTCCAATGAGTCAATAGATGTGAAAACCCCCAGCTTTGTTCCTGATACACAGCAGATGCCCAGTAAATTATTTTTGATTCTGAATCAGAAATCAGAGACCTATGTTTGGCCTTTGAGTAGAAGCAAGATGAAACTGAGAAGGGAGAGACCGTTTACTCCAGCTGGACAAGACTGGATTCAGTTGTGCAGTGTGCATGGTTTAAGCTCTGAGATGCATCACCTCACGACAAAGCCATCTCTTACACTGATGGTTGACTTGACAGTTAGTGGCAGAGGGGAAGGAAAGGGTATACAAGGCAGTTTCTTATTCCAAGGCTCTAGTCCATCCTTTAGGTGGTGGCAATAGATGAAACCAGAAGTGATCCCTGGGGGTCTTCTCCTTCATTTGGGGAGACCCTAGCATTTTGTCACAATTGTACACAGATGATGAGAGTATGGATATTATGAGTATTTGGGTACCAGATCTTCAATTGCCTTCTATTAATATACAGGAAAGGCCTTGGAAACCAATGGTTATACAGAGAGCCCAGGAAAGAGCCATGACCCAAGGACTATAGGGTTATCTATTTTTCCTTGACATTCATGGCCCTTTCAGGTGGAGGGAGGACCCAGGACAATGGCTGCTGATCGTGATTTGGAGATGGAGGATATGAATCTGAACATGGACAGAGACATGAAAGGAGAGCTGGAAGAAGAGAAGGAAATGAGAGAGGACAGGGGAGGTAAAGATCCCCTCAAGAATAAAAAGGTCCACAGGATTGTCTCAAAATGGATGCTTCCTGAAAAGGTTCGAAGAGCATACCTGGAGAGAGCTAACTGCCTCCCACCCCCTGTGTTCATCATCTCCGTCAGCCTTGCCGAGGTGAGTATGTTGGGTGGTGGGCACTAGAGCAAGTACCACTGGGGAACTGCAGAAAGACTGGGGGGAAGGAGAGGGGGCTTCGATCACATCTAGAGAAGAGACTGGATAACATGTAGGAAGAGAGCTTGGTGGTGGCAAGTTCAGCACACACAGAACTCAACCTCACCCTCTCTGGAGCCCCCTTAGGTCTTTCATATGGTCACAGTCACTTTCAGCCAAGGGTTGAGTTTTTTCAAGCAAGTCCCCTGCCCAGCAGTGACTACAATTTTCAGTGGCTTCATTTAATTTTAGTTGCTGGGGCTGTAGAAACCAAATAATCTTGGGGTCACAAATTGGTTTGATCTCATGAACCGACTTTGATTGATTGGTAAGGTCTTTTTGTGGAGCCAACACAGAAGCTAACCAGAAGAGCTATAGGCTCCCTCCAGATTTCAGTAGGGAAAAAAATGGGATCCCCTATTGATGTCTACTGTGGGCAGCATGTAGTGTGTTTTTAGACTCTGATCTCATCAGCCCTTTTATTTTTCAGAAAAAGAGTACAAGGCCCAGAGAGGTGGAATGACTTGCCCAAGGTCACATTTAGTGACTGGGCCAGGACTGGGCTTCTCCTAAGCCTCATCGCACCTGCCATGATGTCTCATAAAAGAATTGGCAGGGGATGGGTATGTGTGGGGTGTGACTTCAGGGACATTAGGAAGTCTCTAATGTAATCCTCTTTAATTCCCACGGATGTCTCAGTTTTCTTTTTTCTTTTTTTTTTTTTAAAGATTTTATTTATTTGAGACAGAATGAGAGAGAGAGAGAGCACATGAGAGGGGGGAGGGTCAGAGGGAGAAGCAGGCTCCCTGCCGAGCAGGGAGCCCGATGCGGGACTCGATCCAGGGACTCCAGGATCATGACCTGAGCCGAAAGCAGTCGCTTAACCAACTGAGCCACCCAGACGCCCAATGTCTCAGTTTTCTTAACAAGGACTGTATTAGGGTTCTTTAGAAAAATAGAACCAATGGGGTGTGTACATATACAAACACATATTATCTATCTACTATCTTTCTATCATCTATCTACCTATCAGCTATCTATATCTATCCATCCATCCGCCTACCTACACATGCCATCCATCCATCCAGCCACCTACCTACACATGTATATTGAGAGAGAGGTTGATTTTAAGGAACTGGCTCATACCATTATGGAAAATAGGCAAGTTCAAAATCTGGGGTAGGCCAGCAGACTGGAGACCTAGGTGTAAGTGTTACAGTTGGGAGTCCAGAGGCAGTCATACCGGCAGAATTCCCTTTCCCTCAGATGAGGTCAGTCTTTTCTATTAAGGCTTTCAGCTGATATGATGTGACCCCATGTTATGGAGGGTAATCTGCCTTATTCAAAGTCTATTGATTTAAACTTTGATCTTATCTAAAAAATATCTTCACAGAAACATCCAGAATGATGTTTGATCAAATTCTTGGCAAATTCATATAGCCAGGTTGACACATCACATTAACCAGCATAGGGACCTAGCCTCTTACGGCTCAGATAAAGAAAAGGCTAATGTATCAACGTTTCTGGCACACTCTATCATGTTATCCTTCCAGCCTATGGATTGGCGGGCCTACCCATGGTCCAATCAGGTGTGTGAGTGCTTGGCGAGTGTGGGAATTGGGGAATAAGGATAAGGTATAAGATACCAAATATGACTGCTGTAGCCTATACTGTGGAGAAGGCAGTTTTCTATAGAAGGGTCGTGGAGCGGGTGCTGAGATACCTATTCTCTCACAGAAAGATCCGTTTTTCAAATAAACTTTTGGAATAAACTTTTTATTTTGGATTAATTTTAGCTTTATAGAAAAGTTGCAAAGATAGTACAGAGAGTTCCTGTATACGTCTCACTTAATTTCTCCCATTACTAATACCTTATATTTCCATAGTACATTTGTCAAAACGAAGAAACTGACACTGGTATACTACTATTAACTAAACTGCGGGCTTCATTTGGAGGGGTTTTTTTTTTAAATTTTTTTAAAGATTTTATTTATTTATTTGACACAGAGAGAGACAGCGAGAGAGGAAACACGAGCAGGGGGAGTGGGAGAGGGAGAAGCAGGCTTCCCGCTGAGCAGGGAGCCCGATGCGGGGCTCGATCCCAGGACCCTGGGATCATGACTTGAACCGAAGGCAGACGCTTAACAACTGAGCCACCCAGGCATCCTCATTTGGAGTTTTTAATATGTATTTCTACCAGCTTTCCCATTAATGTCCTCTTTCTTTCCCTTCTGCCCCTCCAACCCCAAGTATCGCATTCCATTTAGTTTCTGTGGCTCCCCAGTGTCCTCTCATCTGTGACAGTTTCTCAGTCTGTCTTTGTTCTTCATGACTTTGGTAGTCTTGAGGCGTATGGGCCAGGTTTCTGTAGACGATTCCCCAACCTGGGCTTGTCGATGTTTTCCTCATGATTAGATCAGAGTTATGGGTTTTGGGGAGGAACACACAGAGGCGAAGTGCCTTTCTCCTCATGTCACATCGGGGAGTACGGGACATCCACATGATATCCCTGGCGACATGAGCCTCCATCACTTGGTTAAGGTCGTGTTTGCCGGGCTTCTGTGCTGTAGAACTATTATTGTTCCCTTTCCCTATTCTATTTCTTGGAAGCCAGCAGTGACTTAATTTCATATTAACTTGTAAGTAAAAGATGAAATGGTGGGAATGGGAAGAGGAGGGTGGAGGGTATTTAAGGGGGTAGAGAGGTTCAGAAAGAGTCTTCTTTATATTTGGTCTAGGGCTGCTCCTCATCACTGGAGGAAGTGGGATATGACCACAGTTATATGATCAGACATTTAACGGCAAAGACGTTTAACTCCTGTCATCTTCTGAGCACACACTGTGGAGGGGCCCACTTGAGAGCTAATCATTTGAAAGCAAGGTAGTAGTGCCCGTGGGCTTTAATAGGGCCACTCTCTGCAGAAGGTGGTTAACATTCATGTCTGCCCCTCCCTGGCAGTTGGCGGTGTTTATTTACTATGCTGTGTGGAAGCCTCAGAAACAGTGGATCACCCTGGACACAGGCATCCTGGAGAGTCCCTTTATCTACAGTCCTGAGAAGCGGGAGCAAGCCTGGAGGTTTATCTCCTATATGCTGGTCCATGCTGGGTAAGGAATGATACTAAGTTGCTGAGGTCGGAGGTGACTGCAAGTACTCCTAACCCCCAACATTTGGTCGGTGCTTTATTATTGATAAGGCACTTACATGTCAATAATACTCCTGCTGTTTTGTGTCTGAGGTTTCAGGGATGTGGTTACTCGCTCCATATCACTTGGCTAAGTTGCAGAACTAGAACCTCAACCCATTCGTGCTAACTCCAAGTCCAGTGTACTTTATATTGCATTATAACTGCCTGATACTGGTATTTATACAGGGATATTAAATGAGAAGAGACCCCATCATTACTAAACCACACGTATGTTCCCCTAGTTGTTTGATTTTGTTAAAATGTTCCCTTTAGGGTATGAATCAGTCCCTCCCTCCGTACCCCTGCCACACAGTTAAAAAGAATTAATTCATGAACGCTTTGTTGAGTGTATAATACTGTTGTCCATCTGGAATAATACGAGCAACAGGCAATGCAGTGCCTGCCTTTTAGTTATAGCTTCTTACATGCTAATAGTCCTTAATGATCTTGCTCAGAACCCAGGATTCACTATGCCCACTGCAGACAGTGAGCAGCTTGCTGGTGGCCCCGTTCAGATGAGGCCAACTTCATCGGTGTGATCTACCCAACCCTGGACCTTGAAGGATGACTCTGGCCAGGGGCTAACTAGCCATCGATGGCAGGACACAGGGCTCAGAGGCTTGACAAATAAGGACAAAATTGTTCATTGCCCAGTTTCTATGGATACTTTCAGTTTGGTTTTTCATTTAACATGCTCTGAACAAATGTGGTTCCTGCACTCAAGGACTTTAAAATTATAAGGGTGAACAGTCAAATAGTAAGGCAAGGCCATACAGTAGTTACTTAACTTCTTTGTGCCTCGGTTTCCACATCTGTAAAATGGGGTAATAGTACCTACCTCATAAGGTTGCTGTGATTAAATGAGACAGGGGTTATAATGTAATTTTTGCAGTACCGGGACACATAGTAGGCCCTCACAAAGAATCCTCAAGGCTGTGTAGGACAGGCCACATATGGGGTTGTAGAAGTTCAGAATGCTTCGGGCTGAAAGTAGCCAAAAAATCTAATGGGGGCCTGAACAAATGGAGGTTAATTCTTTACCAAATAAGGAGCCCCAAGGTATGTGGTTAGTTCATCAGCTTAAGGAAGCCAAGCCTCTTGGTTCTGTGCTGGCATCTCTGCTCTTCCCTTGACCTTTGTCTTGTGGTTGCAAGTTGGTGGCTGTAGCTGGGCGTTAAAAGCAGGAAGGGGAAGGGTAGGCCCACGTGCTGTTGACACCCATCCCTTCCGTCAGGAAAGCAGCTCTCTTACCAGTCTCCCATCGGCCAGAGCCACGGACATGGCTACCCCTCGCAAAGTCAACATGAGCTCTTCCAGCCTCACTAGAGGATGCAGACAAGCGATAAGGAAATGGATGTGGGATTAGTTACTGTAACATAAAGACGGAAAGATCAGAATGGGGATGGTTTCCCACATGACCTGGATCCAAGCTGGACCTGGAAGGGCAGATAAAATTTGGATGACAAAAGTTAGTATTTCTATTCCAGGTATATGACAGGATCTCATCCTTATGCCATTTCTGCTCTTGCTATTGCACAGCAGAAAGAACGCTGAGGGCGATTCTTTGGGTTTTTTTTGTCCTACTGGTCACTTCGTCCTCCAGCTGTTCCCAAAGGATAGGATGGGATGGCTTCCTTTGGCTTTGTTCAAATTCACAAAGGGCACATATTTCCAAATACTCTTTATGTCTGATGTCCCTGTAAGACTAGCACAACTGTCCCTGCTAGACTATTTGCGCTGAATTACATGTTAACTTCTTGTGTGTCTCTGAAGATGACTTGGGCAGTGATGGTTGTGGCTGGGTGTGCACGTGGTGATGAAGGTAAGTAATCTGTTCTGTAGGCTATGCCCAGAGAGCCTCTGCTGGGTATTTGTTAAGTAAATTATAACGCAAAACACAATCCTGAAAGCTAATAGGAAAGCTGCTACATGTTGTGAAAGATCCAACACCTATTTCATTTTTTAACTTTTTGGTTTAATCTGAAATCTCTCAAAAAAAAAAAATCTTGTGCAGTGTAGCAACTAAATTAAGGATGACTATAATGTGGGCATGTACCAAAATACATTCAAAGATTCTCCAGAGATGCCTGTGGGGTTTGACAGGCAAAATAATATGACTTTTATTTAAAAATATTTTTACCTCGGGGCGCCTGGGTGGCTCAGTCGTTAAGCGTCTGCCTTCGGCTCAGGTCATGATCCCAGGGTCCTGGGATCGAGCCCCACATCGGGCTCCCTGCTCCGCGGGAAGCCTGCTTCTCCCTCTCCCACTCCCCCTGCTTGTGTTCCCTCTCTCGCTGTATCTCTCTCTGTCAAATCAATAAAATCTTTAAAAAAAAAAAAAAAAAAAAATATTTTTACCTCTTTAAAAACTAGAATAAAAACTACCAGCACTTAAATATGTTACATGCCAAACTGTAGGACATGGGAGATATCAACTTTAGCTAGTGTTACTGGGTAAACTTTCTTTTTTATTCTGGTAAATTGTCTTTTCAACTTTTTTAAAAAAATATTTTAATTATTTATTTGACAGAGAGAGCACAAGCAGGGGGAGTGGCAGGCAGAGGGAGAGGGAGAAGCAGGCTCCCTGCTGAGCAAGGAGCCTGACTCAGGGCTTGATCCCAGAACCCTGGGATCATGACCTGAGCCAAAGGCAGATGATTAACTGAGCCACCCAGGCGCCCCTCAACTTTTTAATGTAGAACCGGGGATGGGGTTTCTCTTGCCATCTCTGTTTTATTAAAGAATATCCTAAGATTGCAAGACCTGTTGTTTATTTTTGTTTATTTTTTTTAAAGATTTTATTTATTTATTTGAGAGAGAATGAGAGACAGAGAGCACGAGAGGGAAGAGGGTCAGAGGGAGAAGCAGACCCCCAGTTGAGCAGGGAGCCTGATGTGGGACTCGATCCCGGGACTCCAGGATCATGACCTGAGCCGAAGGCAAGTTGCTTAACCAACTGAGCCCACCCAGGCGCCCGCAAGACCCGTTGTTTAAAAACCTATTGAAATTTGGGGTGCCTGGCTGGCTCAGTCTGTAGCTGGGGCGACTCTTGATCTCGGGGTTAAGACTTCCAGCCCCACGTTGGGTGTGGAGCCTACCGTGCGTGAATTAGGATTTTCTCAATACCGTGCAACCGAAACAAAATCAGATGCAGGGGGCTGACATAAAATGCCAATTGTCATCTAAGCCCAATTTCAAGTTTTGTTCCTTAAGCCATCCTCATCACTCTCTGTTTGATGTTGTTAGTCACTGTTATAAAACAGAACTTATAAAATAAATGTATACTTCCAAAATGTCCTTTTATCTGTTTTACATATTGAGGCTCCATGTTGAGATTTTACTTAAAAAAAGTCACCTAAAAAAATTAGAAAATGGAATTTGAACTAGAAACAATACACCAATGCCTGTTCATGTCCCAATGAAATAACTGTGTGGGTTAGTCATAATATTTGACTACTGTGTTTGTCTCCGCAGAGTTCAGCACCTCGTGGGGAATCTCATCATGCAGCTCGTTTTGGGTATTCCCTTGGAAATGGTCCACAAAGGCCTCCGAGTAGGGCTGGTGTACCTGGCAGGAGTAACTGCAGGTTGGTATCCTGAGGGTAACACAGAATCAGTGCCTCTGCACTCTAAGGAGGCAATGCACAAAGCAAAAGTAATAAACATTTAAGTCAAGATTTACTGCAGGGAACCTGATAAGCATTAGAAATAAGTTAATTAGGGGCAGCTAGCTGGCTCCGTCGACTCTTGATCGGGGTCATGAGTTCAAGTCCTACATTGGGTGTAGAAATTACTTAAATAAATAAAGCTTCAAAAAAAAAAACCCAAAAAACTTTAAAAAGTAATTAGAGTTAAAATATTTGAGATAAGATAAGCAGATAGCATATATATTGGGTAGTGACTTAACAGCCAGATTATGAAGGCCCAGTGTGTCAGGCTAGTGATCTTGGGAAGTCACATGAGCAGATTTGCTTTTAAGAAAGACAGCTTGAGGGGCGCCTGGGTGGCTCAGTCATTGAGCGTCTGTCTTCGGCTCAGGTCATGCTCTCGAGGTCCTGGGATTGAGCCCCGCATCGGGCTCCCTGCTCGGCGGGGAACCTGCTTCTCCCTCTCCCACTCCCCCTGCTTGTGTTCCCGCTCTCGCTGTGTCTCTCTCTGTCAAATAAAAAAAAAAAAAAAAAAAAAAAAAAAAATCTTAAAAAAAAAAAAAAAGCTTGAAGAGAACGAAGAGAAGAGCTATAAGGGCCCAAAGGCTCAGTAGAGACTAGCAACATATGCAGTGATGGCCTGAGGAGAAAATATTAGAATTCCCATCCATCCATTTATTTATTTATTGGAAACATTTTTTATTTTTAAAGATTTTATTTATTTGACAGAGAGAGGCATAGCGAGAGAGGGAACACAAGCAGGGGGAGTGGGAGAGGGAGAAGCAGGCTTCCCGCAGAGCGGGGAGCCCGATGCGGGGCTCGATCCCAGGACCCTGGGATCATGACCTGAGCCGAAGGCAGACGCTTAACGACTGAGCCACCCAGGCACCCCCCTTTTTTTTTTTAAATGAAACTTTTTTACATTGCAGTTGTATGAAGTCAATGCCTAGGGGGTCCCATGTATCCTTTAACCAGTTACCCCCAATGGTAACGGCTTGCAAAATTCTAGTGCAGTATCCTAACCAGGATATCCACCTTGGTACTGTCAAGGTGCGAAACGAGGATTCCTCACGTTGTATTTTTATAGCCATACCCTCTTCTTTCCCACCCCCCCATACCTTCCTTCGCCCCTGACAACCACTAATCTGTTCTCTATTTCTGTAATTTTCTCAATTCAAGCATGTTGTATAAATGGAATCAAATAGTATATTGCCTTTGGGATTGGCTGTCTTCACATAGCATCATTCCCTGGAAGACCCATGTAGGTTGTTGCATGTATCAATACTTCATTCATTTTAATCGCTGCGTAGTATTCCATGGTATGGATGGACCACCGTTTGTTTAACCCTTCACTCCCATTTGGGGCTATTACAAATAAAGCTGTTATAAACCTTTGTGTACAGGTTTTTGTGAAAAGAAGTATGGAGTTTTGTGAACAGAAGTTTTCATTTCTCTGGGATAAATGCCCAAGCGCACAGTTCTTAGGTTGTATGGTAGTGCCTATTGAGTTTTTTAAGAACCACCCAAAATGTTTTCCAGAATGGCTGTTCCTTTTTACATTCCACCCAGTAGTGTAGAAGTGATTCCGTTTTCCACATCCTCACCAGCATTCGTGTTGTTGCCATTTCTTATTTCAGCTGTGCTCAGAAGTGTGCGGTGATCTCTCATCATGGCCTTCATTTGCTTTACTCAAATGGCTAATGATGGTGAACACCTTTTGATGTGTATAACCTCGTTAGTGAAATACCTGCTCATGCCTTTGCCCACTTCCTAATTAGATTTCTTTCCTTTTTTTTCCTAATTAGATTTTTTAAAACCATTGAATTCTGAGAGTTCTTTACATATTCTAGATCCCAGTCCTTTACTCAATGTGTAGTTGACAGGTATATTTTTCTCCATGTGTAGCTGTCTTTGCTACACTGTTTTAATAGAGTCTTTAACGGGGAGCAAAAGTTTTTAATTTTGATGAAGTCTGATTTATCATTTTTTCCTTTATGAATCGTGCTCTTGGTGATGTCTAAGAACTCTTCACTGAGCCCTAGGTCCTGAAGATTTTCTCTTACGTTGTCTTTTATAGTTTTATGCTTTACATTGGAATATGTGATCTGTTTTGAGTTGGCTCACTGTTGCGTAAGGTATGAGGTTTAGACTGAGGTTCTTTTGGGGTTTTTTTGGAAACCCAGTGACTTCACAACAATCTATTAAAAATTCTGTTTCCTTCATTGAATTTTTTTTTGCACCTTTGTCAAAAATCAGTCAGCTGTACTTGTAAGGCATTATTTCTGGGTTCTCCTGTTTGTTCCACTGACCGATGTGTTACCCTCCACCAATACCATGTCCTCAATACCACTGTAGCTATACTATAAGTCTTGAAATCAGTGAGATTCCTCTCATCTTTTGCGCATTTTAAAGACTATGCATTTTTCTTTTACAAAGAGATGAGTGTCTAATTTGCTGACTTTTTTCCCCCTGTGGTAACAAATGGCTTTCAGTAGGATGCTACTGAACAGATGTTGTTGAAAAAGCAAACGCAAAATATGTTCCTTTGACGACATAATAGCATTTTTCATACAAGGAGAAAAAACATAACTGCTTTTCCAAAGATACTTATGCTCTGAAAGGGCATTTTAAAAACTAATGATTGGACATCGTTCTCTCATTGTGTGATTTTGCTGCTGGGAATGATGCAACAAGTCTTAGAAATTCACACTTAAAATGCGGGAAACAATTTCCTCATCAGTTTGAAGAGTTCTCAGTTAAGAGTTGTAGTGGGTTTTAAACATAGTTTATAACACTTTCTGATTAGTTTGCAAAAACAAATGACTGATGCTAGGAAAGGTGGGAATTAACAGGTAAATTACAACACAATTTTTTTTCATAATTGGAGTACGCAGAGTCAATAATGTAATCCTCCCATTTGAAACTACATGTCATTTTTAAATTTTACATTTTGGGGGGCGCCTGGGTGGCTCAGTCATTAAGCGTCTGCCTTCCCCTCAGGTCATGATCCCAGGGTCCTGGGATCGAGCCCCGCATCGGGCTCCCTGCTCAGCGGGAAGCCTGCTTCTCCCTCTCCCACTCCCCCTGCTGTGTTCCCTCTCTCACTGTGTCTCTGTCAAATAAATAAAATCTTTAAAAAAAAAAAATAAATTTTACATTTTGGCTATGACAGTGAGTAAGAGGAAATTTCTATAGAAAATAACTGAATTTAGAAGTATATATTTGTACTTTGGGGTTATATTTAATGAGGATTTTCAAAAAATAATGCTTATTTTATAAATCTGCTCATTGAAAGATTTTTTAAGTTAAAGACTTTATTTTTTTAGAGCAGTTTTAGGTTCACAGAAAAATGGAGAGGAAGACACAGAGATTCCCCATAACCCCTGCCCCCCCACATGCACAGTCCCCCTGCTCCCACCCATTTATCGACATCCCCCTGCAGATGGGTATTTGTTACAACTGATGAATCCTCCACTGGCACATCATAATCACCCAAAGTCCATAAAGAAGTTCACTCTTGGCATTGTACATTCTATGGTTTGGGGCAAATGTGTAATGACATGTATCCATCATCAGAGTATCATATGGAGTATTTTCACTGTCCGCAAAATCCTCTGTATTCTACCTATTCATCCTTACCCCCACTCTGACCCCCACCCCCTGATCCTTTCACTGCCTCCATAGTTTTAGCTTTTCCAGAATGTCATATGGTTGGAATCATATAGCATGTAGCCTTTTCAGATTGGCTTCTTTCACTTAGTAACATGCATTTAAATTTCTCCCTTGTCTTTTCATGGTTTGCTAAACATTTTTTGTACCAGGGGCACCTGAGTGGCTCTGTCAGTTAAGCTGCTGACTCTTGATTTCCGCTCAGGTCATGATCTTATATATCTTATAAATAAATAAAATCTTAAAAAAAAAATAGGGCCATGCTGCCTCTGATCCTGTGGGGGAGAATCCTTCCTCCCTTCTCCCTAGCTTCTGGTGGTGGCCGTCCGTCCTAGTCATTCCTTGGCTTGCAGGTGCAGCCCTTCAAGCTCTACGTCCATCGTCATGTGGAGTTCTCCTTTCACATTCCCCGTCTCCTCTAATAAGGACATGGTCATATTGGTTGAGGGGCCCACTATACTCCAATATGACCTCATCTTAATTAATCACAGCTGCAACAATCCTATTCCCACATGATATCACATTTTGAGGTACTGGGGGTTGGAACATCACATCTTTTTGGGGGACACAATCCGACCTTTTGCAGGGCTCAAAATTTTTTAACTGATGATGTTACTAGCCTCCTCGAGCAGTGGGGCCAGAGAGTAGGAAGCCTTTAGGAGATGGACTTGGCAATGCTCAGTGACATAGCTCCCCAGTCGGCTTCCCTCTACTTTTGTGGAACCTGTTTTTCCACCTTCTACTTCCAGTCCTGCACACACCTGTTTTTCCTGCCCTTGGAAGCCCCCGCAGCTTGATTTCGACCTGTGGAATCAGCCCTGCCCCAGTTTCAGAGGAGAGAGAGGAGAGAACGTGATTAACCTGTTCACATCCTCTGCCCATTTTTGCAATAGCTTCCTGGCAGGTGTGTCTCTCTTTGCTATTCTGGTCTTCACACTGCTGCCTGGGTCACCTTCCTCAAGCACAGATTAGATCATCTTATATCCTTCCTAAAACACCGACAGCGCCCAGAAGAAAGTCAAAACATCTAAGATTGCTCATTACCCTCCACTATGTGGCCCCATTGCCTTTCAAAAAAGAAATTATACATAAAGAGGTTAAGGGGAGCTTGATGTAAAATGTTTTTTTATTAACTTTTTTGATGTATGATTGACATACCAAAATCTGTACATAATTAATGTATACGACTTGATGAGTTTGTAGATAAGTATACACCTGTGAAATCTTCACTACAATCTATGTCATAAACATGTCCATCAATTCTAAAAGTTTCCTCTTGCCCGCTTTCTTGCTTTGCTTTTTTTCTAGATTGCTTAATATGTCAAATAACTTTAGTTTCCCCCCCTTTACTCCTGGCAAAGTGTGGTCCATGGATTAGCTGCATTGGTATCACCTGGGAGCTCATTAAAATGCAGAATATTGGGCCCCACACCAGACCCACTAATCAGAATCTGCATTTGAACAAATCCAGAAGTGATTTGTATGCACATTAAAGACAGAAGTGATGGTCTGCAATCCCACCCAGTGTTCCCCAGTCAGACTGATCATCACAATCTCCCGGAGAGCTTGTCATAGCTAAAGCCATCCAGATCCCACCCAGATCTACTGACTCAGAATCTCGGAGGATATGGCCTGGCATCTGTTTTTGTTTTGTTCTGTTTTCTGTTTGGTGAGGGATAATTGACATATAATAAGCTGCACATATTTAAGGTGTATAATATGGTAATTTTGATACGTGTATACACTCATGAGACTATCACCACAATCAAGATAATAAACGTATCCATCGCTCCCCAAAAAGTTTCTTTGTGATCCTTGAGAACTGCTCTCTACTGCCCCTCCCTGTCCTTTCCCTGGCAACTACTGACCATTAGAGATTAATTTGTATTTTCTAGAATTTTATATAAGTGCAATCATAGAGTATGTACTCTATTTTTGTCTGGTTTCTGTCAGTCAGCATAATTATTTTGAGATTTATCCATGTTATTATGTGTATCAATAGTTGACTCCTTTTTATTGCCAAGTGGTATTTCATTGTGGGGATATACCACAAATTGTCCATTCTCCTTGTTGATGGTTTCCAGTTTGGGGCTATTGCAAATGAAGCTTCTATGAACATTTGTGTGTAAGTATTTGTGTAATCAAATGTTTTCAGCTTTCTTGGGTAAATACCTAGGAATGAAATGGCCGGACCCTATCTGAGGGTATGTTTAACTTTTAAGAAAACTGCCAACATTTTAAAATAGCTTTACTGAGATAGAAGTCATATAGCGTACAATTCACTCATTTAAGTATTTAATTCAATGTTTTTTTAAAACTTAATTCACAGGATTATATTCCCATCATCACAATTGAATTTTACAACATTTTTGTCCCCTAAAGAAACCCTGCACCCCTCCTTACTCTTCACCCCATTCTCCCTTCCCCAGCCTTAGGCAACCACTAATCTTCTGTCTCTTTAGATTTGCCCATTCTGGACATTTCATACAAGTGGAATCATATAATATAAGGTCTTTCCTGATTGGTATTTTCACTTAGTGTAATGTTTTCATTGTTCAGTGATGTAGCATATATCAGTGCATCATTCCTTTTTATTAGACAATATTCCATTGTGTGGCTGTATGTTTTCTCTATACATTCACCAATAAATGGACGTTTGGGTTATTTTCAGTTTTCGACTATTATGAATAACACTGATATGAATATTTGTGTAGAATTTTTTTTGTTGATCTCTTGGATATATATCTGTAAGTGGAATTGTTAGGTTATATGGTACAAAGTACAGTTCACCCTTGAACATCGTGGGTGTTAGGGGCACTGATCCCGCTCACACAGTTGAAAATCCACATGTAATGTTTGACTCTCCCAAAACTTAACTACTAATAGCCTACTGTTGACCCAAAGCCTTACCAATAGCATAGTTGATTAATGCATATTTTGTATACATTATTACGTACTGGGTTCTTACAATAAAGTAAGCTAGAGAAAAAAATTGTTAAGAAAACCATAAAGGGGGCATCTGGCTGGCTCCGTCAGAAGAGCATGTGACTCTTGATCTTGGGGTCATGAGTTTGAGCCCCACTTTGGTATGGAGATTACTAAAAAAAAAAAATAAAACTTAAAGAAAATCATAGGGAAGATAAAATACATTTTTGGTACTGTACTGTATTAGTGAAAAAAAATTTACATAAGGGTGGACCTGAGCAATTCAAACCCGTGTTGTTCAAAGGTCAACTGTAGTTCCATTTTATTTTTATTATTTTATTATTTTTTTAAGATTTTATTTATTTATTTGAGATAGAGGGAGAGTGAGAGAGCAGGAGCAGGGGAGCAGAGGGAGAGGGAGAAGTAGGCTCCCTAGTGAGCAGGGAGCCCAAAGCGGGGCTTGATCCCAGGACTCTGGTACCATGACCCGAGCCGAAGGCAGACACTCAACCATCTGAGCCACCCAGGCACCCCTGTAGTTCCATTTTACACCTTCATGAGGAGTTCCAGCTCCTTCACATTCTCAACAACACTTGCTGTCATCAGTCTTTAATTTTAGCTAGTCTATTGGGTGTATGATGTTATCTCACTGGGACTTATTTATTTATTTAATTTATATTTAAAAAATAAATTTTGGGGGCACCTGGGTGGCTCAGTTGGTTAAGTGAATGACTCTTGATCTCAGCTTAGGTCTTGATCTCAGGGTCATGAGTTCAAGTCCCGTGTTGGGCTCCATGCTGGGTGTGGAGACTATATAAAAAATTAAAAAATAAAAATAAGTATTTTATTTTTAAGTAATCTCTACACCCAACACAGGGCTCAAACTCACAACCTGGAGATCCAAAGTTGCATGCTCCACTGACTGAGTCAGCCAGGTGCCCCTCTCACTGGGTTTTAATTTGCATTTCCTGACAATTAATGCTGGTGAATATCTTTTCATATGCTTGTTTGCTATCCACATATCTTCTTTGGTAAAGTATCTGCTTAAATCTTGCCCATTTAAAAATTGGATTATATTCTTTGTTATAATATAATAATGTATATTCTGATTATAAGTCCTTTATCAGATATATGACTTGCAAATATTTTCTCCTAGTCTGTTGCTTGTCTTTTCATGCTCTTAATAGTATCTTTTGAAGAAGAGGAGATTTAAAGTTTTGATAAAGTATAATTTATACTTGTAAATTTTAGGAACTGTGCTTTCAGTGTCAGCTCTTGCACATTTGTATGGGGGGTCAGATTTATCTCCATATTTCATATTTTTGATGTGCTGTAAATGGTACTATTTAAAAATTTTCTATTTCCAATTCTTCATTGCTGTGACATGGAAATAAAGTTGATTTTTTTGTACATTGACTGTCTATCCTCCAACTTAATTAACTTATTATTTTTAGTAGTTAAACAGTTATCTGCTTATTCCTATCTTCTGTTGGAATTTAATAAGGCAAAATCTTGTGGGCTTGCCCATGTTATCACCACTTCCAGTGTCCTCCATTACTTTGTATAATTCCATATTTTCATCTGATATTTTTTCCTTCTGCCTGAGAATTTCCTTTAACATTTTTTAATTAAAGATTTTATTTATTTATTTTAGAGACAGAGAGAGCATAAGCAAGCGAGGGAGGGGTAGAGGGAGAGAGAGAATCTTGAAGCAGCCTCCCCGTTGAGCATGGAGTCCGGTGTGGGGCTCAATCCCAGGACCCTGGGATCATGACCTGAGCCCAAGGCAGATGCTTAACCGACTGAGCCACCCAGGCGCCCCACTGTCTTTATTTATTTATAAAATTTATTTATTTGTCAGAGAGCACAAGCAGGGGGAGCAGCAGAGGGAGAGGGAGAAGCAGGCTCCCCACTGAGCAAGGAGCCCAATGCAGGACTCGATTCCAGGACCTTGGGATCATGACCTGAGTCAAAGGCAGAGGCTTAACCGACTGAGCCACCCAGGTGCTCCTGCTGTATTTATTTATTTATTTATTTATTTTTAAAGATTTATTTATTCATTAGAGAGAGAGAGAGCGAGAGAGCGAGAGAGGGAACACAAGTAGGGGGAATGGGAGAGGGAGAAGCAGGCTTCCCGCTGAGCAGGGAGCCCGATGTGGGGCTCGATCCCAGCACCCTGGGATCATGACCTGAGCCGAAGGCAACCGCTTAACCGACTGAGCCACCCAGGCGCCCCTGCTGTATTGATTTTAAAAAATATTCTTCTTTATGTGTTTCATGTTCGATACTTTTACTGCCATGTCTTCATGTTCACTAATCTTTTCTTCTGCACTAATGTGCCATTAAACTCAACCAGTGTATTTTTCATCTTAGACATTGTAGTTTTCTTTAGAAATTTGAGTGTTTTCTATCTTGTGGGTCTCTACTTAATTTTTGGACAGATAGTATATAGTTGTATTTATTGCCATTATTGGCTAAAACTTACACTTGTGTCAGTTTGGGAGGTTTTAATTGATTTTTCTTTTTATTATGGGTCATATTTTCCTGTTTCTTTTCATGTCTGACCATTTTTGTTTGGATGCTAGGCATTTAACCTTTGGATGGTGGATATAGTATTCCTATAAATATCCCTAAATTTGTTCTGGAACACAGTTATTTGGAAGTAGTTTGAAACTTCGTGGTAAAATTTGCTAGGCAAAACTGTGTTTTTGAGTCATGTTTAGTGCTAATTAATACCCACTACTGGTGTAGGACCCTTCTGTGTACTTTATGCAATGCCCCATGAATTATGAAGTTTTTTGGTTTGGAAAGTTACTTAGCCTCTCTGGTGCTGGGTGAGCAAAGCTACTTGCTCTTCCCTCTACTCCTTTCTGGTGGTTCTTTCCTTGGCTTAGGTAATTTCCTCATGTGCTCCTCTCTGGAGTTCTTTCTGTGCTGCTCCTTCCTCTCTGGTGCACTGTCTTGCAAACTACAGCTGCCTAGGACTATCTGGACTTTAAATGCTATCTCATCAACTTAAAGTTTACGGAGATCTACCTGGTTTCCCCCTTCATGCATTGTAACCTGTAATCTCTGTCAAGGCAGTAAGCTGGGCAATCAGACAACTCACCTATTTCTTGTCTCTTAGGGTTCACTGTCCTTTGTTATCTGATGTCCAGTATCTTGGAGATCAATGTTTCATATATTTTGTCCAGTGCTTTTAGCTGTTTCAAGCAGGAGAAAATCTTGTCCTTGTTATTTCATCATGGCCAGAAGTGGACATTTGTATCTGTGTTTTAAAAATAAATTACTCATATGATTAAGGCAACCACTCCAGCCCTAGTCTGAAAGCTGACATTTGAGGACCATCCCCTAAACCTATTGGACTACTCACTGATTTTTAGTCATCCATATACCTTTGTTTCTATGTCTTTGCTTTTCCAGTTCCCTAAGTCCTGAATACTTTCTCCTCCTTTGTTTTCCTTCCAAATCTTAAAGGTATTTTAGAGTTTAATCAAAATGCTATATCTTCCTTCTCAGAGTAGCAAGGCTTCCACCTCTGCTGAAAAAAATCATTTTTTCCTAAGTGCTTCCATAGCAAATTCATTACATTAAGAAATCATAGTAGTTCTGTTCTGCATCTTATAATTGTTTACTCATCTGTTTGTAAGATTCTTAAGGCCACTTTGTCTTTCTTGCACAAAGCAAGCATTACATTGTATCCTAAGGAATGAAATAGAGCCTTAAAAGCAAATAACTAAGTAGTACAACAAAGCAGTAGAGAGAGAACATCTTAGAGTTTGCATAAGGTGGTTTTAAAGTCTTGTTTTGGTTCAGGCAATCTAAGATTGGGTTGAAAAATAGGTTTCCTCTTGTTTGGTGAATCTGATAGAATACTTTGTTGAGAAGGGTTCTGAGGCCACATATTTACTCCCTGAGAAAGCCAGCCATTAGATAATAAGATGTTGGAATGTCTCAGGTATTGTGTTAGTTTTGGCTAAATGTGTGCAGTATTTTGAAACAATAGCTAACAAGTACATAACACATGTCAGGCAGTGTTCTATGCATGATGCACATCTCAAATCATTTACTTCCCCTGACAATGCATTGAGGTAAGTTCTATTAATATCCTCTTTATGTAGGGAAACTAGGGCACAGACAGGTTAAGAAACTTGTTCAAGTCACACAGCTGGTAATTTCGGCTCTAGAGTTTGTGCTCTTGGTCCCTGTTATACTGTCCTCATATTGAGCATTTAATGTTTCAGAAAAATTGAGGTAGTTAGCTCACATAGCTATACTTTTAAAGTATGGAAGGGACAAACAAAATAAACTTGTTGCTTGTTAATATGATAACGGTCCAAACTTTCCAACTTCTGCCTTAGATTAGAAAGATTTATCTTTCACAATTCTTACAGTTACGTGTGATCCTTTGTGTTTTCTTTCTTTAGGGTCCCTTGCCAGCTCCATTTTTGACCCACTCAGATATCTTGTGGGTGCTTCAGGAGGAGTCTATGCTCTGATGGGAGGCTATTTTATGAATGTTCTGGTGGTAAGAACTTTGGGAATGGAATCTATGGATTTTTTTTCTTTTAAAGAATAACTGGTATTTGGATCAGGGAATCTTCATCATGTTTACTGAGCACTCATCTTCCTTCTGGGCACCAGAATTTTCCTTTCATATTTTATCTTTATTTTTTTTCCTGATTTCAAAAGTGATGAATACCAAAAAATTTTTTTTTAACTTGAAAAACAGTCAAAATCTCAAATATAGTATCTGTTAACAGTTTGATATACATCCTTTCAGACCTTTTTCTAGATGTATTCAAAATCCTGCCAAAATTAAGGCTACAAAAATGGATCCGCTATTGAAGATACTGTTCTACATCTTTTTTTTTTTTTAAGATTTTATTTATTTAACAGAGAGAGCACAAGCAGAGGGAGAGAGAGGGAAAAGCAGGCTCCCTGCTGAGCAAGGCGCCCGATGTGGGACTTGATCCCAGGACCCTGGGATCATGACCCAGGCTGAAGGCAGCCGCTTAACCGACTGAGCCACCCAGGTGTCCCTATACTGTTCTACATCTTAACATAGAGTTATCTTGACCCCACCTACCCATATCACTACACAGAAATCCATTTCAGTCTCTTCAAGTGCCCCACAGCACATTATATAGCTGTACCCTGATTTAATCCTTCAATGAAAAAAAAATTGGGCTGACTTCATCTATTCACACTTGTGGATAATGCTGTAAGGATGTTCTCTTACATTTATCTTTTTGCATTTGTGTGTGTGTGTTGGTAGGATAAATTCCTAGAAGTGGATTTACTGGGTGAAGGCTTTAAATTTTCATAGATAAATGCCAAATTGCCCTCCAAAGTTGGCATACCATTTTATACGCCCATGATATAGTATGTAAGAATGTCAACCACTTTTCAAAACAGTGTTAAATTCTGACTAGTTCTTAAACCCTTTAACCATATAGGTATAATTTAAAAATATTCTAGGAGGAAAATATGAAGCAATTACAAAACTATTCCAAGAATAGAAGCTATTTAGAAAAATGTTTTTCAAACTTTGGATTGCAACCCATTAGTGGTTGTGAACACAGTTTAAGGAATTGTGTCCAAAAATTAAACAAAAAGAGGGGCACCTGGTGGGCTCAGTAGGCAGAGGTCTTGGGGTCTTGAGTTCAAGCCCCATATTGGGCATGGAGCCTACTTAAAGTAATAAAAAATTTTTAAAAAGTTAAAAAGAAAAAAATTTAAAAAGTTTCAGTCTGTATCACATGTAATACTGTTTGACTTATGTGTGTACTGGATTTTTATGTAAATTGTTTCTTAGTGTAGGTTGTGACCACAACAGTTTAAAAATAATTGATTTAGAATAAACATGGGTATTTCAGTGTCTTTCCTCTTTGGGAAGAGAGTTAATATATTGAAAGGGAAGAGAGAACTAACTCAGTAAAGTGGAGATGTCTTTCTGATTCAGTTTTTTTTTTTTTTGAAGATTTTATTTGATTTTTTTAAAAGATTTTATTTATTTATTTGACAAAAAGAGACACAGTGAGAGAGGGAACACAAGCAGGGGGAGTGGGAGAGGGAGAAGCAGGCTTCCCGCCGAGCAGGGAGCCTGATGCGGGGCTCGACCCCAGGACCCCGGGATCATGATATGAGCCGTAGGCAGACGCTTAACGATTGAGCCACCCAGGTGCCCCCCTATTTATTTATTTGAGAGAGAGAAAGAGATAGAGAGAGAGAGGACATGAGCTGGGGGGGAGGGGCAGAGGGAGAGGGAGAAGCAGACTCCCCACTGAGCAGGGAGCCTAATGGGCGGCTTGATCCCAGGACCCCAAGATCACAACCTGAGCTGAAGGCAGACACGACTGAGCCACCCAGGTGCCCCTGACTTAGTAGTTCTTTAGTAACACAGGAGGGTACTGTAAGCTGGACTGAGATTTTCTTTTTAAAAGATTTATTTATTTATTTTGGAGAGAGAAAGAGAGAAAGAACAGGGGGAGGGGCAGAGGGAGAGAGAATCTCAAGCAGACTCCCCTGCTGAGCACAGAGCCCCACACAGAGCTTGATCTCACGATCCCAAGATCATGTATGGCCTGAGCTGAAATCAAGAGTTGGACACCCAACTGACTGAGACAGTCAGGTGCCCCGGACTGAGATTTTTCAAAGCTAAAATGAAACTTTATTTTTTTAACCAATATTTTAAATTTTTTTGAAATTATCTAAAAGAATTAATACCCAGATTTTAACTAACTCCTGTTTGGAAAGAGGATAAAGTATTGAATGAATATTAACCAAAAAAACCTTAGAAATATTTCATCAGACTTAGTTTGACAGCATCTATCTATCTATCTATCTATCTATCTATCTATCTATCTATCTCTATGACATGTTAAGTATTGATTTCATATTACTGATACTTAGATTTTTTCCTAATACAATTATGTCTAGTTCACATCATGAAATTAAATATTGATTTTGTTCCCTAAAGTGCAACAGCGTTGTACTTCCCAAATACATTTGAAAACTGGGCTGCAACAGTATTGCTTTATTTTGTAAATATCTGACACTCAAACTTTCATCTTCAGATGAAGAGAGTACAGTTGAGGGTTCATTTGCCAATAGATAGCTTATATTATTTTTATTTATCTCTTTGCAAGAATTTTCGAGAAATGATTCCTGCCTTGGGAATTGTCAGACTACTGATCATCATCCTTATAAGTAAGTTTGTTTTGTGAACCCTTTGCACCTATCATTTTATCGGTTTGACCTCCAGAGGGGCTCACTTTCCCTAAACACTAGCATGGAGTGACAAAGAATTGTGGCTCCACAGCCCTAAGCAGAAAGGTAAATGGCAAGGTTTTCACAGACCCCCGTGGGTGGTTTTTAGAGGTGCCTCAGGAATGAGTTTTTGCTTTTTGTTTCTTTCTGCAGTGGGGGAAGTCAAGAGAGTAGAGCTTTAGGTACTCTGTCTACTTTAACCACAATAGCTTCACTTATGTTTCCTCATTCATACATTGGATTTTGGGTTGTTCTCATTCATACAATGGACTCTGTATATGATTTTGTCTGAAACGGGGAAAGCTTGAAAACCACGGACATAATCTATTTTCTTCCAAAATTTTTACATTTTCGGATTAAAAAAAAAACTGAACTAGGATCTAAGCATGGAGTGATGGCTGAGGGTTGAAGACAGGAGCAGAGGGTGAAGGAACGGAGAGGTCAAGGAACTAGCAGGATGGTGAATGTGGCTTTTGAAATCTCCAAGAATTAGCATAGAATTACATGCTGAAGGAATTTAGGAAGAGTGCTCAATCTGGAGAGGAGGCGGAACTTTAGCTGAGTCTGAACGTCATGGGAGATTTTGGGTGGTGGCAGGCAACACTGGGTAGAAGAAAAAGGAGCTAAGGCCGGACTAGTAACTCGTGTTTCTGGACCTGCTCCGGCGGAAGCTGTAGTCGCACGGAGGAGGGTGGGGAGAAGGCAGACCCTGGGGTCAGACGGTAGGGTCGCATCTGAAGGCCAAGATGGAGGCGATACTTGATAAAACCCAAGACTTCGGCTGTCCACATGGTAAGAAGAAATGGTCCTGCTAATTGGTATCAAGAGTTCAATTATCTGCATTGCTGGGAATAGGGCCAACTACCTCTGAAGAAAGAGATTAAATCAGTCTCTTTCCAGTTTATGGACAGTTTAGCAGTAAAAACAATATTTCATCCTGAGAAAGATAAGTGACTTATTTATAGGTTACACATACTCTTCTGTAATAGTTTTGTCCATAAGAAATTGAAAATGTGAGAGTAAGTTGTGAGCACAGAAAGGAAAGCAAGTGTCTGGAGTTAATGAGGAAAGTCACTGGGGCGCAGAGCTGCCACCTGGGCTGTTAAGCATCACAACCGGGACCAAGGGACAAGTCCCGTGACCAAAACATGTTGCTACACACAGGTTACCTGGTTTTCGATCTGTTTCCTTTAGGACAATTATGAATGACTTTGTAAAATGACCCCAAACCCTTGATGGGGAAATGGTTTTAATACTCTTCAATGTTGGAGTAAAAACCCTTTCCTTATGCACAGGGAGTCTCCAAAAATAGTTTATGTAACATTATGTCATTCCTGAGGTAAGTAATAAAGTCACTTTATTTTACAGAGTAGCTAAGACCCGTTAACATTAACCTTCCCCACTCCCTGGCATGGGCCACTTCTAAACGTTCTTTGGCCTGGTTTACCTACTGTTGAAGATGAGGCAAGTTACAACACACGCCAGATTAACAAAATACAAGTATATTTTTAGTTTAAATACACTTCCTTGGGGAAGTGTATAGGTAAAAAAAGGTAAATTATTATTCTTAATTATGAAGGACAATTGGCCTGAAGGACCTTCCTTCATGAAGCCTTCTTGTTGGATGTGTCTACTAACAAGGCAACTGAGCTTCCTTTTTGAAAGAGAACATCTCACATGTTCACCCTTCAAAAAAAATCCGTATAAAGGCAACTCTCTTAAAATCAGTGTCAAATTTTTAGCAAGGACAGTAACTTGGTTTATTGGGAGGGAAGACATGTCTCAGTGTAGCTAATGCAGCAGACGTAGAAGCAAACTCCCCTAGGAAGCAGAAGGAGCCGGGCAGAGAGATGCAGAAAGGGCATGATCAGAGAGAAAGTGGTTGGAGGAACGGACGTGCTAAGGGTTACAAGAACTTTTTGAGAGGAGGCCTCCTCCTCTGGATGACTAGGCCAGAGTAATAAGAACTTTCCTAGTTCTGTCTCTGTGTTATTTATTTACACTGGATTAGGAAATACAAATGATGACTGAAAATACAACACAACCACATTTGTCCAGCATGTTGTGTAATAGTCATTCACAGTTAAATTAATATTGAGTACTTCCTTGACCTCAATTCCCGTCTAGTCACTTGAACATCAATCAATACAGTATTGAAAGGGAAACTAGCCACAACACAGGGTCCTGATGCTATTTTCCCAAAGGCAAGGACTAGGTCTTCCCATCTCCGGGGACACAGTGGCTTACTAAGTGGAGCACAGGGAGTTGGGGGATGGCTGTGGAATGTGACAGCTACACGAGATGTTTCCAAGTGCAGGGCACATGGAGGCGGAATTCTTCTAGGCCACGAAACCCTGGAAGCTCCTTTTGCATCATGGATCTGACTTATTGGAAGAAGGTCTGAGTTCTGGCTCTCACTGTTCCATTGGAGAATGTGGACTCATCTCCTTACTTGGCCCATCATCAGTACTCTGGTGGTACTTAGAGGCAGTTAGTGTGGTAGGTGAGAGGGGTGCCCACATAGCCAGACTTCTTAAGGTTCAAATCCTGCCCCTGCATCTGAGCTGTGTGGCCTTGGACAAGTACTTACCCTCTGTGTTTTGGTTTCCTTATGGATAAGATGCCACCATCATTCCTCACTTGGATTGGTGCCATATAGTTGATCTAGCTGGTCTTCTGCTCCTGTCCTTGCTCCCTTACATTCCTTCCTGTATAGCAGCCAGAATGATCTTTTAAAAGCATAAGTGGAATCATGTCACTCCTTTGCTCAAAAGCTTTCAAAGGTTTCCTACCACTTGGAGTCAAAGTCCTTACAGTGGTCCATAAAGCCCCTACGTGATTTGTCCCCTGCTCCTTGCCTATCATTTTATCCCTAATTGTAGTCCAGAATCACCTGGAGTTCTTGTTAAAACACAGACTTCTGACCTTATCTTCAGAGTTTCTGGTACAAGTCTGGGGTGGGCCTGAGAAGTTTAATTTCTAGTAAGTTCCCAGGTGAATGTTACTGTTGCTCTTGGAGGGGCAGGGAGTCACACTTTGAAAACCACCCATCCAGCTAGCACAGCTGCTCTGGTCTTCCTCCAGCACATTGGGCACATTCCTGCCTCAGGAACTTTGCACTTGCTCTTCCCTCTGCCTGGAAGACTCTTACTTCAGATGTCAGCATTGCTTGCTCTCTTATCTCTGCCAAATGTCATATTCTCAGTGAGATTGTCCCTGACTCTATTAAAAATCACACCCTACTCCCAGCATTCCTAATCCTCCTTCCTCTCTCTGCATTTTGTCCATTTGCTGTACTCTTTGTTTTATGTTTTACTAATTTGTTTGAGAGCTTCCCCCAACAGACCGTCAGCTCCATGAGGCAGGGCTGTCTCATCTGTTCACTGCAGTATCTCTACCACCTGGAACGGTGCCTGGCGCACAAAAGATAACCACTCAGTACATGTGGGATGAATAAATCTGTCAAGCGGGATGATATTTCATAGGGTCCTCGTGAGGATTAGTGAATTGATACTCATAAAGCTCTTACAGTAGCACCTGGTACAGAGTGAGTCCCCATAAATGTTAGTTGCTACCGTGACTAGAAGAGAACCCAAAACATCTGGTGCATTGTTGTGGCAATCCTGGGGCTTCATCAGCTTGTTTTTCTTTCTAGTTTTGTCGGATATGGGATTTGCTCTCTATAGAAGGTTCTTTGTCCCTGCAAACGGGTCACCGGTGAGTTCAGTTTATTATTTTTTCAACAAGAACTTGTTTACCTATCATACCAATAGCTAAAAAGGGTCACTGAATAGGGGCAATAAGTCTGTGATTTAGGGCAGCCAGATTTCCATTTGGAAGATAAACAAATTCCTGAGGAAATCAGACTTTTGGATTGTCCTTTTCACTTAACTCTCTCAGAGACCTGACTGTCGTCAGCTCTATTTCTTTGCACTTGCCCTCCTGGTGGCTCCTGGAGCAAAACAGGAGAGAAGGGATTTCACTGTCCACAGAGAATAAAAAGCAGATTGGAGAACAGCAATGAAAATTTGGGTCCAGATGAATTTGCAGGATTAAAAAAAAAAAACTGACTGAGATTTCCAGTTTTGTTGTTATTAGTCTTTGAATTGGGTAGTTTGTTTGTATATTTGTGTGTATACGTCAGCTGTATTTTCATCCTGACATTCCATTTATGTGGGGTCAGACGCGGCTCCTACAGAGATCCCTTGTGGTAATGCAACACATTCTCTTGACATATAGAACCATCCAGAATGTGATGGTGACAGAGAATGAGAAACAATGGCTCGGTCCTGTGCACTCGGAGAGTTGATGAAATGACATTTTTTAGCTCTGCATGTTTTCAGAACATCTCTCTGCATATGGGAGTTTTGTGTCTCTTTTGCTTCACCTCCTTGTCCTTCAGGCTTTTAAGGCTCTTGTTTGACTCTGATGGCATTTGTGTTTTAGGAAGAGGGATGCAACTGAAATATACAATTAGCATTTTCTTCACTTATTTTCATTTCTCCCCTTTTCCTCCCAAGGTGTCTTTTGCAGCCCACATTGCAGGTGGATTCGCTGGAATGTCCATAGGTTACACTGTGTTTAGCTGCTTTGATCAGGCATTGCTGAAGGATCCGAGATTTTGGATAGCAATTGCAGCTTATTTTGCTTGTGTCTTATTTGCTGTGTTTTTCAACATTTTCCTCTCCCCAGCAAACTGACCTGCCTCTAATATAAACCAAGTAATACAAAGAGCCATCTGGGAAAAAACTGAAGTCTATGAAGAGACAAGTCCTTGCAAATGCTAACAATTTTTTAAAGAGGTCAGAACACGACTGAAGTCCTCAGTTGCAAAGACTGTTTACAAAAGGGGTTAGGGTTTAGGTAAGGGGCTTCTGAACGCAGAGGGAGGGAAAAGGAAGAGAGAAAAGGGGAGGGATGGAAAAAGCAGGATTGGCTCTTTCCAGACATGTGGTGTGCATTGTAGGGATACTCTAAGAGACTTGCTCTCCTTGGAGGATATATAGTAGAGACTGCTTGATAGAATCTACAAATACCTGTACTGTTCTGATAATAAAAACTTTTCATACCTGTGCCAGACTATTGATAATCACTTTCTATCACTGTTGGGGTGGATAGATCACTCTTTGGGGTGCTTTATATACATTATTGTTAATCTTTTCAACAACCCAGAAATGTAGCTATTACTCTCTATCTAGAGAGGACAACATGAAAACTCATTAAAAAAATCAAGTAACTTGTCTAAGAGGGCACAGGATTTAAAGGTTGGTAATGACTCGAAAGTCCATATTCTCCTCCCCTACCGGTCTAATGAGGCTATGTGTCCCAAATACTGAAAGCTGAGAGTATCGTGGGAGTATAGGAGCAAACATTTCTGTGAGTACGCCATAAATGGTAGAAGTATCTTATAAAAGAAGACTGAAAATTTTCTGGACTGCCAGTTTAAGATTCTAGAAGTGTGTCTAGGATCCCAAGGAACCTAGAACTAGCTTTCTGGTGCATACTGGGTACCTGGACTCTGGATTCTCATCCTTTACGTGGCTAGTGGCTCTCCTGGGAGTGGGTAGGATTTATTTACATAGGGTAAAATGTCAAATCTGAAAGCTGAGAAGCCTGTCTCCTTTCTTATTATAGAACCTAGGTTATTGGCTTTTTCTTTTTTTTTTTTTAAGTAGGCTCCATGTCTGGGAACCTGGGTGGCTCACTCTTGATTTTGGCTCAGGTCATGATCCAGGGTCTCGGGACTATGGGTTTTAACAGGATAAATGAGATTATACTACACGTGTTGCTCTGTACCTTGCTTTACAATGTGATGCTGGAGACCTTCATTCTCTGAGTTGCCAGATGATAAAGATGTATTGTGGTTATTTAACCACGGCTCTACTGGACACTGTTGATTTTGTACTATTATCGACAGTGCTATGTGAACTTCCTAGTACGTGTAGGATGCCTTTGAGTATGTTTGCTGAATGAATATTTTAAGCATCCACAAGCAGAAATGCTGTTAATTTTGATAGATTTAAACTGCCTTTTAAGTAGTGCATCCATTTATATTCTTACTGACAGATGTTAGTAAGTTTCCTTATACTTTTGCCAAAAGCAGGTATTGTAAATCTTTGAAAAATCTGCATTTTGATAGTTAAAAAATAATACTTCATTTAAATTTTATTTGTCTAACTACTGAGGCTTAGTGTTTTTCAAGTTTATTAATAATTTATATATTACACATATGTAATTTATATAATATACAAATATGAATATATATGTATAACTTTTTCCCTGTGAAATAGTTGCATTGAATCTGAAAAGTATCTATTAATTGGCAAAGAGCCCAGAGAAGGGGTGTCTGGCTGGCTCAGTCTGTAGAGCATGCCACTCTTGATCTCAGGGTTGTAAGTTCAAGCCTCATGTTGGGGAGTAGAGATTACTTAAAAATAAAAAATCTTAAAGAAAAAAAAAAAAAAGCCCAGAGAAGAAATAGTCATCTGTCATGTCCAACCCATCAGGTCACTAGCTCTGAAGAGAGACCTTTAATGACCTAAACGGAAATGTAATTGTTCATAACAGAAAACTAGATAGAGAAACAGAATTCATCGAATTATGAAACTGTTTTTAGGGGCGCCTGGGTGGCTCAGTTGGTTGAGCGACTGCCTTCAGCTCAGGTCATGATCCTGGAGTCCCAGGATCGAGTGCCACATCAGGCTCCCTGCTCAGCAGTGAGTTTGCTTCTCCTTCTGACCCTCCCGCCTCTCATTCTCTCTCTCTCTCTCATTCATAAATAAATAAATAAATAAGAAACTGTTTTTAGTCAGAAAGAGTTTTTGGTACTAGAAACATGGTTCACATTATAATTGGGTTCCCCAGGGGGCAAAATTACTGTAAAAAAAAAAAGCATACAAACATCTGGTGTTTTAAATGTGATGTCTCTGAATTATAGAGGAACCATCTATTCAGCTTAATTTGGGGCTCATAACTTTAGTCTTCTAAACTGCTGTGTTATTAGAAATATTCTTTATTTGTCCCGTCCAATAAAGTAGCCACAAGGCACATGTAGCTCTTAAATTTTAATTAAAATTAAATAAGATTAAAAAAAACCTCAGTTCCTGTGTTACACAAGTCATGATGCAAGTGCCCAATGGCTCTATGTAGCTAGTGGCTACCTTATTGGACAGTGCAGAGAGAGTCTTTCAACACTGTTGCAAAAGTTCTATTGGACAGAGTGGTTTTAGAAGCACAAACATGAGCGCAAATGGATTTTAGCCGATGGCTGACTCACTGCACTGAATTGAACTGCTCTGCACCTGCAAAGGGACACTTCAGAGAACAAGCATGATTTGCTTCTCAGATTTATCTAAACAGGTTTGTGTTAATCTCTGTTTTAGCAAATTAAGAAAGAGTTGTTTGAAATGTTTTTATTTTTTGCTTTCGAATTCTATGGGATTGAGTCTAGGTAGACTAGTATTCATGTCATTTATGAAAGCTTCAGAACCTAAGATTTGTAGCTAAATAATTTACTGCCCCTTCTTTCAGGAAATACTATGCTTTTGCACCTTAAGGGAAAAAAATTATTATTTTTTTGTGATTATAGAAGTGCTCATGGTAAAAACAAATTAAAATACATATAATTATAAAAAAATAAGTCAATTGTAATCACACCACCCAGAGATGATCATAGTTAATATCTTGATGAATTTCCTTCTAGGCTTTTTATATGCATCTCTACATATAAACAAATATATAATTATGGGGTCATACTGTTCTATTTTATAAACTGAAACAATATGTTAAATGTCTTTTTATATTAGTATTTATTTATCATTTTTACTGGTTGCATAGTTCCATACTATAGATGCACTATTATTTATTAAGTACAATACTGTCTTTCTTGTATTGATAATTATTTTGGACAGTTTCAATTTGTGATTATTATAAACAACATGAATGATACCATTGCTTACACTTTAAAGTGTTTTGGATTGTTGGATCAAAGAATATATTATTATTAACATAATAAAGTTAAATAGAAATTTTCTCTCAGAAATACAACTAAATTTTAGAAGGTTGATGCTTTTGTAAATCTTTTCAAGTGAATGAAGCTTTAGAAAAGGAACTAAAGACTTTAGAATCAGTTATTTAAAAAGCCCAAACTATCACTATTTGACATACCTAATTTAAATAAACATTTAAGAGAAAACAGATGATTTCCTAATGTTTCTTTCATGCAAATCTTAAGTGCACCCAAAGAGGAAAAAAATAACAGTTTAGTAGAATAGGACCTGACTTTAGAGCCACACTGATTTTCAATGTCAGTTCCAACTGTGTGACCTTTGGTAATTAAAGATTTTATTTATTTATTTGGTGGGGGAAGGGCAGAGGAAGAGGGAGAGAGAGAGAGTCCCAAGCAGACTCTGCGCTCAGTGCAGAGGCGGACCTGAGGCTTGAACCCACAACCCTGAGATCATGACCTGAGCCAAAATCAAGAGTTGGATGTTTAGCCAACTGAGCCACCCAGCTGCCTCAACCTTGGATAATTTAGGTGTGCCTCAGTTTCCTCATCTGTAAACTGGGGAAACAACATACCTACCTCATAAGGCTTTTGTGATGAACATATCATTTAGCTATAGTATCCCAGTATTGTACTTAATTGTGTAACATTTCCCTTTATATAAGGGATATAGAACACATATTGATATTTTGAAGGAAAGTTATGAAAACATTCCTCTTTTTATCTTTCCTGTGGGATATATTTCCTCTTAGATACATTAGGATATCTACCTTAATGTGGAATGTACTTCTTGATAATCCAAGCATCTAAATTATAACTAGCCTGACTGCTCCTTCTAAAAAAGCAAGCTATGTGTCTTAAATAGGTCAAATATTGTTACAATGAAAATATCTATAATACCACCACCACAACAGCCATCTGTTTATGTCAAGAACTATATAAAAACATTCTGCTAGTACAAAAATAGTTGAGAATTTTTGGAGTTTTTTTTTTTTAAATCTTGAAGTTCTATTTTTTTAATTTAAGATTTACTTAGTTAACTGGAGTTCATTTTAAGATGATGAAAATGTACACAATTTTTCATAGATAATTAAGAATTTTATGAATATTCATAAATATTACAGAAATTTCGGATTTCTAGAAATGCTCAACAACTGCCAGAAAGCCAACAGAATTTAGACATTTAAATGTGGATTAAAAAACAAATCTAAATTCCTATAGCAAGAGCCAGATCTGTTTCCTCTGATTTCATTAAATGCTGTATCTTACTGAATTCTCAAATGAGACACTCACTGACTTTGGTTATAGTTTTTATATAATCTTAATAAAGAGGTTTGTAAGATCATGTCAGTAGTTTTAGGAACCTCTCCAAAAGTTCTCAGTTAAACAAAGTAAAACAGTAATAAACTTCAGCTAACAATAACAAGACTCCTTTCTCAGGGTGCCTGGGTGGCTCAGTCGTTTAGCGTCTGCCTTCAGCTCAGGTCATGATCTCAGGATCCTGGGGTCGAGCCCCGCATCGGGCTCCCTGCTCAGCGGGAAGCCTGCTTCTCCCTCTCCCACTCCCCCTGCTTGTGTTCCCTCTCTCGCTATGTCTCTCTCTGTCAAATAAATAAATACAATCTTAAAAAAAAAAAAAGACTCCTTTCTTATAGGGGATCCTACAGTTGTTGTTTTTTTTTTTTTGATTTTTATTTACTTATTTTAAGTAATCTCTACACCCAACATGGGGCTTGAACTCACAACTCCGAGTTCAAGAGTCACATGCTCTTCTGACTGAGCCAGCCAAGCCACCCCATCTACAGTTCTATTCTTCATAGAGAATATATACAGCCCCTCCTCCAGGTATCTTTTTTTCTTTTTAAATATTTTATTTATTGATTTGAGAGCAGACAGAGAGAGCATGAGCTGGGGCAGGGGAGAGAGAGAAGCAGTCTCCCTGCTGAGCAGGGAGCCTGCCACGGGGCTTGATTCCGGGACCCTGGGATCATGACCTGAGCTGAAGGCAGACACTTAACTGACTGAGCCACCCAGGCGCCCCTCTTTTTTTTTCTTCATTACATTATGAGGTCTAAACATAAGTGATTGTAAATTCCTGATATCTTTTTTTTTTTTTAAGATTTTATTTGAGAGAGAGAGAGTGCACACACAAACCGGGGCAGAGGGAGAGGGAGAAGCAGACTCCCTGCCCATGTGGGGCTCCATCTCAGGACCCCGGGACCATGACCTGAGCCGAAGGCAGACATTTAACCAACTGAGCCACCCAGGCGCCCCTAAATTCCTGATATCTTAAATATATCCTTGGTGAGATTATCACAGTTCTCTAGGGAAAAAGTAGAGCAACAGCACATGAAGAGAGTGATGCTTTGTTCATGTTTTGGCCATAGGTTTGCTTTACGAAATAGCATGCCCTTGAGAATGGAAGAATTTATCTGTCTCCTATTTGATGGGGTTCAGAGTGAAGCTGGCTGACTAAATAAACATGGGGAACTGGAATTTCCTTGGAGGCATCCTGGAGGAAGTTCACATCCACTCCACCATCATTGGAAAGATCTGGCTCACTATCCTGTTCATATTTCGAATGCTTGTTCTGGGTGTAGCAGCTGAGGATGTCTGGAATGATGAGCAGTCCGGTTTCATCTGTAATACAGAACAACCCGGCTGCAGAAATGTGTGCTATGACCAGGCCTTTCCCATCTCCCTCGTTAGATACTGGGTTTTGCAGGTGATATTTGTGTCTTCACCATCCCTGGTCTATATGGGCCATGCTTTGTACTGACTGAGGGTTCTGGAGAAAGAGAGGCAGAGGAGGAAAGCTCAACTGAGCGGGGCCCTGGAGGGCGTGGAGTTTGATATGCCTGGGGACTGGAGAAGACTGGAGCAAGAACTTTGTCAGCTGGAACAAAGGAAACTAAATAAAGCTCCACTCAGAGGAACCCTGCTTTGCACTTACGTGGTACACATTTTCACTCGCTCCGTGGTTGAGGTTGGGTTCATGATTGGACAGTATCTTTTATATGGATTTCATTTAGAGCCTTTAGTTAAATGCTATGGCCACCCATGTCCAAATATAATTGATTTTGTCTCAAGACCAACAGAAAAGACAATATTCCTATTATTTATGCAATCTATAGCCACTGTTTCTCTTTTCTTAAATGTTCTAGAAATTTTCCACCTAGGTTTTAAAAAGATTAAAAAAGGGCTTTGGGGACAATATAAATGGAAGGATGAGCATAATGAATTCTTTGCGAACAAGTCAAAACAAAATCATGCCAAATATCAGAGCACCTCTGCAAATTCACTGAAGAGACTCTCTTCTGCACCTGATTATTATCTGTTAATGGAAAAGCAAAAACACACAGCAGTGTGCCCTATTTTAAATTCACCTGCATCTCAGGCAGCTCCTGACAATCACAGTGGAAATGATGAGAAATGCATTTTGGCTGAACAAGAAACTGTACTTTCCGATGAGATGTGCACACTTAGCGCTACCTGTAGTCATCTTCAACACATCAGCTCATGTAATAACGAAGATACTCATAAAATATTTAGAAAAGAAGTGGGTAACCCATTAAGGGAAAAAAGAGAAATTGATGGCAAAGACAGCAAAAGGAACCACTGCTCTAGATGTCACTGTTCTATTCCAGGTGTTGCTATAGATCTGGACAACCACATGGGGCAGTCATCCCAAACAGCTTTCCCTCCGCCTGGTAACTGTGCCTGGGAACAGTCGTGGCTTAGGTCTACATGTGGTCCCTCTATGGAAGATGAAAATCAGGTGTCACCTCCTAAAGGAAACCTCAAGGGTCAGTTCAGAGAGGGCACATTTAGCATCCTGCCTCCTTCACTGGGAGACTGCCAACCGCCTGACATTCCAGACACTCCTGATTCTTTGGGACAGTTGTCCTTTGAATCTGATTTGGCCAGAAGCTGCAATAATCCTACTGCTTGTCCTCCAAGTCATTTGGTGTTGCTGACAAATAACCTCACTGGTAGGCGGGCTCCCACAGACCTTCAGATCTGAACTGCTTTTGGCTTCTAGACATTCTGCATATTATGTTATCATAGAAGTAGCCTAGTGGTGATGGAGCACAGGCATGACAAGGGCAGCTCTAAAGACCAGGTGTTACAGGCAGAAAATTGCAAACCCATTTCAAAAAGGAAAAACAGATTAATTCTGAGTGGTGAAGGGGCAGTTTCAAATTCAAAGACATAGTTACCAAGTATCAGGATTATTTTTTCACAGGCTCCCTTCAGAATTCATGAAAACTGATTCTGGGAAAGTCGCATGTTTAGAATCGAGGCCTAATGGATTGGAAACAGGTTTTTCCTTGAAGGGAGTACAGCTTTAGGAGATTCTCCTTGTTCTACATAATTCTCCCTCTTAGTTCCTAATCTCTTATTTCTGCGCAATGTTTAAATTGTTTGTCCCTGGGACTTAATTTAGTTTCCTTATTGACCGCAACCTGATGTCTCTTGAGTATGATGATGTTGTTGCTAGTAAATAAAATCTTAAAAAGATTGATGGCTTTATAGCATCGTGATTTCAGTGCCCAGATTGGAATTGCAGCTCTATCCTCCCTGGTCCTCTAACTTCGCCACTTTACTAACAGTGCCTACCTTACAGAGAGAGCATGAGAATTAAAATAAGAAACGTGTTTAGTACAGTGCCTGGCACACGGTAAGCGCTCAAAAGCTTAGCACGTTACTGCTCACCCCCTCCAGAGGCCCCTATCAAGCCCGCCACAAAATAAACTCCAAAAGTAAAAGCTAGAGCTGAAACATAACGATTCTAAGCACTCCTCTCAAGACACTGCATACCCAAGGGTCGCCATGCGTCGGTCGTGCGCACCTTTTCAGGATGAGAGCCAAGAAGCCAGCACATATAGGTTGCCGCACCTAATGAGGTCCCGGTCGGCTCCAGACCGATGTCCGAAGATCACACCCTGCTACAGTCCTAGTGCTATCGGCCTCCGCAGGCCCTGCCCCCGGGCGCCACGCCCATCTCTGGCCCCACCTGGACACTAGTCCGGAGTTACCAAAACCTCGCCTCTCGCTCAGCAACCGAATCGCTGCAAGGACCGGAAGAGGAAGGAGAGGTGCTGCTCCGGGAGCAGAGAGGCGGGTGTACGCAGCCTCCTTCGACTTAGCCCACTATGGGGCACTCAGAGCGTCCTGGTTGTCATGAAAACAGGCCACACCCCTGCGATCTCGGCCCGTGGTTCGCAAGTGCGCATGCGCGCGCGCCCTTCCGCGCATGAGCAGTGCTGCTCAGAGCCCGCCAGCCACGGTCTCGGGCGCCAGCTACGCCGCTGCCGCTGTCACTATGGCCCATTACAAAGTGAGGGGGGCGCGGCGTGGCTGGGGGCGTGCGGGCGGTAGCCAGCCGCTGGTCGGCTCGGGGTGGGAGCGGGGGCGCGCGCGCAGGTTTTGGGGGCCTGAGGTAGCGAGGCGGAGGCGGGGTTGCCGGACTCCCAGCGCCTTCTTCCTGCTCCGGTCCCTGGGCTTCGGCCACTGACCCGCCGTGTCTCCTCAGGCCGCCGACTCGAAGCGCGAGCAGTTCCGGAGGTACTTGGAGAAGTCGGGGGTGCTGGACACGCTGACCAAGGGTGAGCATGGGCTAGGAGAGGGTTCCTCGTGTCCACGCCGTGCTCCTCGGCGCTGCGCCCCTGACGGGCCAAGGTGTGGGGAAGGAGGGGGAACAGGTGGGAACTGTCTGGGGTCCGGTAAGGTGGGCCTCGGGGTTCAGCAGGGACTGGCGCACGTCTGGCTGTCGGACGCCGCCCGAGTTGGGGTAGCCTCGCTCATGCTACCACTCTCCGGGCGGGGAGTGAAACTCTTGCAGCTGTTGTAAAGTCCCTCCAACTTCCGTTGCTTTGCCTCGAGCGGTCGCAGCGAGCATATTTGCTAAAGACCTTGAGATCCCAACTCCTCCCTCCTTACTTTTTGCGGAGTCAAAATTATGTAAAGAAGCATTTTCCCTCGAACAAAGGGCAAGTGGGAAAATTACCAGATTTCAAAGTTGCCTATAAAATAACTAAGTGAACTCAATCCCCAAAGTAGGCGATTCATAGTCAATTTGGTTGTGGTTTTTCAACCCTCGTTCCGTAGGCTATACCAATTCCTGCTTTGTGCATATTTCATAAGTAGAATTACAGTTTAAAGAGCTTGAGGGCACATGAAAATGGTTATATTGTTTACACCTTTTAAGATGGAAGCTGTTACACTGTATCTCTTTCTCCAAGGGGGTTCAAGACCTAAGATGAGTAAGGAGCTTGAAACTGGAGAGTTCCAAGAGATAGTTGGGGTACTGTTTATTTCACTAGCTTAGCAATAACGTGAATGTCTGCTATGTATCATTCAACTCATTGGCTAGAACTTTCAAGGATATAGAACAGAAGAGCTGTCAGGGATGATGACTGGGTCCATATGAGAAGTGTCTGGGAAATTATTTGGTAACTGCTCTTTGGCCAAAAGCAAAGGTTAGGAGAAAATTCTGGGAGAATAACTCTGGGTCTTAGCAGAAAGCAGGACTTTTAATTCCCATGCGTGGGCTGGTAATTTTGAATTGCTATCTACCTTAGGTTCAGATAATAGTTTCCTTATCTCTTTGCAATTAAATTTCAGCAAACATGACAGGAGTACTCTATGAAAGTGCTGTGCTCTGCCCTCTCTTGAAGGGTTCCCCCCCTTTAAAAAACTCCATGAGTTCATTTCTTTCATTTCTTTCACCATTTTATTCAGGTCTCTGTTCTAGGCACTGGGGATACAGCAATGGGGGAGAAAAAAAAGCCCCTGCTCTAAATGAGCTTATATTCTAGTTGGAGGAGACAGATAATAAATACATAGTGCCAGCCAAGGGGAAGTGTTACGAATAAAAATACGGCAAAGGGGATAAAGAGCAACAGGTGTGCCATTTATAAGGGGTGGTGGGGGAAGGTCTCTCTTAAAAGTAACATTTGAACACAGATCTGAATGAAATGTGATGTCAAGAGTTCCAGGAAGTGCAAGGAGCCCAGAGTGGCTGGACGGAGTAAAAGACAGAATGTTAAAAGGCAGAGAAGTGACCTTGGTGGGAGGTAACAGCCTTGTGGCCATACATGGTTCCTCCTTCATGAGACTGGAAATCCCTGTAGGCTTCTTTTCCTTTGCTCACATATACTGGCATCTAACTCCTCAATCTCTGCAGATTTCCAGTCTCCTAAATAATATCAGAGAACTTAACATAATGTCTCTACTGATGTGAGCTATTTAAAATTTGATTTTCAGCTTCAAACATGGGTACTTTACACATATTTAATTTATAATTTTAATACAGCATATTTCCAAGAGGATCTGAAACTGCTTCTAACATTAAAACGCTATAAGGATGGCTAAAGATAAAGATAAGTCATTTGGAAAAAGAAGCATTTGAGATATTTTGAGTACCGTATCAACCTCTAAAAATCCCGCCTGCTAAGGCAAAAAGGGAAACACCGGCTATCGAGTTCTTGTCTGATAAAAAGGAAGTATATTTAATCTATAGAAAAGCACAGGAAACTTGATATTTACATTATGTTCTGTAATTATCAACCTCATAGTACCACTGACAGAAATTTAGAAGCTGAAAGAAATGGGGTGGGGAAGAAGAGGTAGAAAAGGGTAATAAGAGTATTCATGTCTTATAAAGTTAGTTGGCAAAGATCAGTGGATATTAATGGAAGAAGAAACAGGTTTGAGTATGTTATTTAAAGAAAAACACTGAAAGGAGAGGGTGGTGGTGATGTAAATATACCAATTTCTCAAAAAACAGGGTTGTAAGTATACTTAGAAGAATAACTATCAGAACTCAGTGCGGGTTGTTAAAAAATCATTGCCATTTGATTTTTTCATACTGTCTATATTATTTTGATGAATTAAAACTAAAAAATAAAAAAGGAAGTGTGTAAGTTTTGCAACAGATCTTAACTTGGGGTCTAGAGATGCACGTTTTTTGTGTATAGTTACATTTTTTGGCTTTTGTCACTTTCAAAGGGTTCCATGCACGAAAAATTTAACCACTGGTTCAGAGAGATTTTTATCTGAGTAGTAAATCCCAGGAGGAATTTGTTCAATAGAAGATGAGCAAGGTAGTGCTGACATAAGCTTTTGGATATAAACTAAAACATCTATTTTAATATTGATTTGAGCATGTTGATTACTGGTAAAGTTTTTGGTTGGTGGTTACAAAATTTTTCTCAAATTTATCTACTTTGTTTTCACCCCCCATCACTCCAGTGCAGGTTACTATCTTTTTCAGCTGGATTGCTACACCTGCCTCTTAACTGTTCTTCCTTCCTTCATCCTTGTCCCACTCCGGATCTTCCACACAGCAGTCAAGAGTGATCCTGTCACTCTCCTGCTTAAAAACTGTTTAATTATATGCCTGTTCTGAGGATCAAAGTCCAACCAAACTTGCAGGATCCTCCCTGGTCTGCGTCCTGACCACCTTGCCAGCTTCCTTCCCTGCCACATTGTTCACAGCTCCATCTAGCCATACTTGAATTTTCAGTTCCTCAATGTGTTGTTCTCTTGCCCTCCCCACCCCCCTCACCTTCCCATTTCATCTAAAACCCTCATAGCCAAGTCTCAGGTCTTATTTCCTTTCGTTAGGGAGCCTTCCCTGGTGTTCTAGGCTGAGTTAGGTGTTCTTCCAATGTACTCTCATAATCCATCATCCTATATTGCTGCTTGATGCTCTTTTTTTTTTTTTTGGTCTAGTTCTTTGCTTTTGCACTAGACTGTAAATTTGTTGAGAGCAGGGACCTTATCTGCCTTGTTTACCATGGTATGGCAGTCCTAGCAATGTGCTTGCTGTATAATAGGCATTTAATATTTACTGGGCTATATAATTTCAGTCATTCAAATTTAAGACTTTAATTGTTGCTTTTTTCTGCTTTTTGATTTGCAGTATTGGTAGCCTTATATGAAGAACCAGAGAAACCTAATAGTGCTTTGGAGTATCCTTTTCATCTTTCAAGTCAGAAAAAGGACTTATCTTTGGAACTCTTATTTTTTCACATAGATAATATTTAAAATATTTTTGACGATTGAAAAAGTTACTTTCCTTTATGTTTTGCAATGATGATCTCTGGGTAAATGTTGGTGGTAAGGTGGGGTGACCATGATCAGAGATATTGATACTACTCTGAGCTATTTCGTTAGTTTCATTCAGCTCAAGTAAATTCTTAACTTTGATATTAGTTTTTTAAAGCATCACTTAGGAGCTGCTACCCCAGAAAATCCAGAAATAGAGCTGCTTCGCCTAGAATTGGCAGAAATGAAAGAGAAATATGAAGCTATTGTAGAAGAAAATAAAAAACTGAAAACAAAGGTAAATGTTTTAAAAGAATTCATGTTAAAAATAATTTCACCCTTAATGATTATAAGAACAAAACCTCACTAAAATGGATATTAGGGGAGGGAGGAGGATAAATAATCTCGATTAACTGCAAGGCTGAACTGATGCCCTATCTAGAAAACCACAAATTGTAAATAGGACAAGCAATGTGTGGTCAAGAAGAGGTTCTTGGGAACCTGCATCAAGAAAAAGATGAGCGGGGCACCTGGGTGGCTCAGTCGGTTAAGTGGCCGACTCTTGATCCCAGCTCAGGTCATGATCTCAGGTCATGAGTTCAAGTCCTGCATTGGGTTCCACGCAGAGCATGGCGCCTACTTAAAAAAAAAAAAAAAGATGAGAACATTGGTTAATGCTGCTTATGAGTAAATGGAGATTTCTGGGAGTTATAAGCAGTTGATTTAAGTAGGTCATTGTAGGGTCAATGCTTTGTGAATGGCACCTCTTAGAGTTGTGCAGTGCATAATCTGCACAGTTGTATGTGCTGGCCCTGGAATCTGTTTATCTCTATAAATTTGTTTGCACTTAATTTTGTCTATTGCTCAAGTTTTTTCTTTGTTGAAACTCCTGTGAGAATTTTCATAAACTTCAAATTAGTGAACTCTAAGTCTTTGAGGTTTTTCCACACTCTGAATCACATAATGCATTTTACATTACTCTACGCATTTCTCATAATGTGATTTATCTGCTCAACAACCTTGCGAGATAAGCGAAACAAGTACACAGACCATTTTATAGGTAGGAAACTAAAGCACAGTGAAGTCTAATTATCTTCTCAAATCTGACAGCTAATTGGAACAACCTAAATCCTAGCCTAGTGTTCTGGCAGGGAACCACAGCTTAGCATAATAGAAAATGCAGCATCTTAAATTGTCCAAGATTCCACAACACAAATACCAGTTAACTCTTTGGCATCCATTAAGTCAAAGACATGAACTTCTCTTCATTAACTGGCTAGATTAATATATGGTACATTATTATTTTTTTCTGCTTTTTAAGAGAAAGTTCAGTAAACTTGTGGTAAAGAGAAAGAGAAAGTCCCTTACCAGAAGCCACAACATCTTTGGGAAGATACAGATAGATTATTGCGTATCAGGTATTTGAGCAGTGCAGTTATGAATTGAAATTCAGCTTTGGTTTCCCAGTAATTTTAAAGGTTTATATGAAAGAGTTTTCATTACATTTGATTGTATTAAATCTTAAATTGTATTAATCTTAAATGGTTTAAAAAGGAATAGGATATTCATATAGAGTTACTGATTCAGTAATTTGAATATAATAGTTAACTACTCGTTTTGTTACTATTAAGTTTTTTTTACCCAATTTAGAATAAAATTCACCTAAACTCCTCTGTCTTTGCCCTGTAGCTTGCTCAGTATGAACCACCTCAGGAGGAGAAGCGTGCTGAATAGGATTCTTCTCAGTTGAAAAGACACTGAAAAAATGGTTTTGTATGACTTGAATAGTTTGTATAGTATATAATCTTTTCTGAACAGATGCTCTAGAACTCTTTTAATATGTTGAATTCACCTATCACACTTTAACTGTTATAAACACATATACTTAGAATCACCAATAAAAACTCAATATAACTTTCTTTGGGTCTTAAAAGCAGGAGAATCCAAAGTGAATCCTGAAAAAAAAAAAAAATCTAAACACAGCCATCTAATTCATTACCTTAAAAGACATTCTGTTTATTAATCTGACTAGGAATGATGGTACTGGTTGTATTTTAGCCAAGGAAGTTCAGCATGGAGCTGTTCTTTGGTTTAGTGCAGGATATGAACACAGGTATAGTCATTCTTTAAAATGAAGATGACACTGTTGTTTATATCCTCTGTAGGCAGCTGTGTGACAGAAGATGCTTTTGCACGGGTTCCCATGAATCTTCTGCTCTTGTTTATATAATGTGGAACAAATAACTCTTTTTTGCCACCACTTTGCCTTAGATAACCATGTGCGTGCCAGTCTGAACTCTGACACCACGTTTCCTTCTATGCAATCATGCCCTATCTGATGATGTTGCCTTGCTTTGCTCTGTGCTTCAGTGGGTCCTAGCTGCACTTGGCCTGTGTTGTTTTTCAATTTGCTATACTAGTAGTTACCCTGATTGTAATTTATATAACTTCAAACAGGATCACACTGTTCCCCTGCCTTACTTAGTTGCTTAGTTGAGCAGAGAACTGAGGCAATATAAAATTCTGGGTTCACGCACAAGCTGGGATAAGACGGGGAATGAGCCATATATCGTGGAAAATTATAGTCTGCGGGTATAATTATATAGTGCTTTTTTCCCTCAAAGTATTTTTCTAGCTTTGAATTCATTTTATCTTCATTATCCCTGTGAAGTAGGTAGGGCAAGTATGAGCCGAGGTCGGGTGCTGAATTTTTAGGCCAAAGACTGATATTAATACAAATTATTTACTAACTGTAGAACCTTGGGCACTTCAGTTAACTGCTCTGAGATTCACTTTCCTCATCTGTTAAATGAGAAGAATAAGATCAGTGCTGCCTACCTCACAGGGTTGTTGTGAGGGTCAAATGGAATGTATGTGAAAGAACTGTAAATGGTAAAGCACTATATTCGTGTTTGTTAGTCCTTTTCCTTTCTTTTGGAAGACCTACAGTCAGATGTTCCATTTTGTTGGTCACTTATTTTCCTTACTGACTGATTTGACATTATTAAGAGTCATCCTATTTTGTATATTCTAACCCTATTGTTAGAGAATCTGTCTTTACTCTTCTGTCAAAACACACGTAGAAAACAGAATGCTCCAGTGAAAGCTGATTTAACTAGCAAAAGCCTTAGCACTTGCTGGAAACTGTGACCAAGCTAACTGTAAGGGCATTTTAATCAGTCATGTTGGCAAGAATGTGGCAATGGTCTGTGTCTCTTCTAGTCACAAGTTTGTTTTTGGAGGGGGGCCAGATCCTGCTGGAAGAACACTCACTTGAATCAGTTTATCTTTTACCAATTTGAGTGCCTCCTACATGCTCAGCAGTAGGCTGAGTGCTGGGTGTTACAGAGATGAATGACTTGAAGTTAGTTATAAGACATGTACATAAGCAATTACAATGTGGGTAATAAGTGCTAAGAACCATAAGAACAATAAAACTTGGCCCCATGGGGATTTTGAAAGAGAGGGAGACTTGGCTTCTTTAAGCAGTTGGTATGACAGTCCCTTTGTGGAATACAGACAAGTAGAATTTTTTTCTGGCAGCCAACCCTCATTTGCTTTTCTACTATGGGACTATTATTAGCGTTTATGTAAGTCAGGTTACTGTCTCTCGTACCATCCTTTTGGACAGAATGGCAACCAGTGGGTTGGATAATCACACTTTTAAGAGGGAACTGACCTGTTTAAACTGCTGTAGCAGTCAGTACTATTCAAGAATTCAGAGTCAGCCTGGCCTCTGGAGGTCCTCTTCATCATTTCTATCAAGGATATGGATGAAGAGAATGTACAAGAAGATGCTCAATGGAGTAGAAAAAGGATGTCATCCATTCAGTTCCTACTGCGCTTCAGCTGCCTTATCTATAAAATGTAGATTTCATATCTTGCCTACCTCACAGGGTTGTTGTAAGGATCAAATTAAATATAATGGATGAAAAGTGCCTTGTAAATTGTAAAGGACTACATATGGGTTACGTGGTGAAATGCCAAATCTGTAAATGCCACAAAGTTGGCTGGCTGGTAAACCATATTGAAGCAAGCTTGAAAATGATTAACTTGGAGTACCTCAACTTCTGGGCCTAAACCATAAAGCTGAAATGTCAAGTCTTATATTTAGGTTAAAAAATGCAGTGGTACAAGTTTAGGCACTAGGACTGCCAACAAAATACTAGTTCTAGTGATTATCAGTGTGAACCACATATGCTCTGGATATTAAAAAAAAAAAAATTCCATTCTGGAAAGCATTAATATAAATATTGTCCAGGTGCTAAACAGTCACCCCGAAGGCTGTATTGGTCAGTATTGCATTGTAGGTGCCAGACATTTGGTGGATGTTGATAAGCCCAAATGCGTGTAAAAAAGTGAATGATCAACAGGGAGAATATTGATAATACTTGATAATAAAAGGTTGTGCTGTCCAATATGGTAGCCAGTAGCCACATCTGGCAACTACAGTTAAAAAAATTCAGTTCCTCAGTCACAGTAGCAACATTTCAAATGCTCCATCCACACTGGCTACTATATTGAACAGTATGGTTGTAGAATATTTCTATCACAGAAAGTTCTGTTGGGCATCAGCATAGAAGGGATGGTCAAAGGAACAGAGTATGTTTAATGTGAACAGAAAAGACTCAGGGGGTAATGAAGACTGCAACCTAGTATTTGAAGGGCTGTCATGAAAAAGATGAAGACTACTCCTGTGTTGTTCCATTTTAAGCTCCAGTGAGTGTGATTTTTGGTCGAAATAGAAGACTTTCCAACAGTTTTACCTCAGTGGACGTAGCTGCCTTTTGAGATAGTGAGCTCTCTTCCCTTGGAACACTGAAGTGTATGCTGCATTATCGATCAGCTAGAGGTGCTATAGAGTGGACTCTGTTTAGGAGAGAGATTGGACTAGATGACCTCTAAGGATGTGTCCTACCTTTAACTTACATATTCAGACATAACTAAGTCCCAGACCTGCAAGAACAGGCTTTCCTTTCATAATCTAGAAGCTAGTTCCTTTCGAAAATCAGTGCCACCGCCATCACCTCCATTTTAAGAGGATCTTGTTTCATCAAATTTCCAATTCTAAAGCCTGACTGTCAAGAGTGAAAAATTCCTCTAGCTTTCTCAAATGTATTTGGTGAAAGCGTTTTAGTTTGCTTTCATTATTCATTCCTTTGGTCTGTGATCGTGATCTGAAGGTCACAGAAGATGTAATGTTCTACGGGGAGGGGACAAGTTACATGAAAAGTAGACTGGGTGGAAAGGAGGGGAAATTGAGTTCTTTTGAGTTTGAAGTGGTAGTAGTAACCACCGTCTGATTTGCTGAAGAGGGGAGGATAAGCTGTTCTAGTTTGGCTGCATTTGCTCTCCTGTTACTTGCTAGATCGACCCGTATCACACCCATGACTCTGCCTTGGGTTGAGGCTTTACCCTCACTCAGGCTGGCTCCTCCTCCCTACCCCTGCATATCCCAACCACATCCATCCATTTAGACCTGCTCAGACGCCACCTCCTTACAGACTTTCTCACCCTCCCAACTCCCGAGCATTTTTATCTGTACCTTTGACCTTTCCACTTCATGTCTCGTACCGAAGCTACTTACGCAGAGATCCGATCTCTATTAAATCTCCCAGCAACTTGAGGGCGGGCAGGGTCCGAGTCCGGTCCAGTTTTGCGTCCCTTGTCCCCCCAGGGCATCGCGGGCATCAGTAAATACTGGTTGGGCGAGTACCATTGTAGGAGCACAATCAGTTCTTCCCCCAAATGACCAGAGAGCATCTCCCGTTGCGATGGCCTCCAGAGCTCCCAAGAAGGCAGGGGAGCGGCGAGGAGCAAGGCGCGTGGCTGGGCAGGACCGAGGTGCTCGCTAGGGCGGAGGGCAGAGGGCTCGGCCGGCCCGGCCACCCTCCTCGTGACTCCTCCTCCCCCCTCCACGGCTCCAAGTCAGGTGATTCCGGGCACGTGACGGGCACCACCTACCCTGCTGCTCCCGAGTGGCAGCTCGGGCGGCCAATGAGGGGCTGGGCCTCGGCGCGGAGCCTATGAGGGCCGGGCTCTAGGGGGCGGGCCCCGCGGCGGTGGAGGCTGCCGGGGGCGGCGGCGGCGGCGGCGGACTGGGGAGGCGGCGGCCTGGCTTGGCCTGGCCTGGCCTGTCAGGGCGCGGGCGGCGGCAGCTCCAGCACCATGTCCCTGCAGTACGGGGCGGAGGAGACGCCCCTGGCCGGCAGTTACGGCGCGGCGGATTCGTTTCCGAAGGACTTCGGCTACGGCGTGGAGGAGGAGGAAGAGGAGGCGGCAGCCGCGGGCGGCGGGGTTGGGGCGGGGGCCGGCGGAGGCTGTGGCCCGGGGGGCGCTGACAGCTCCAAGCCGAGGATTCTGCTCATGGGGCTCCGGCGCAGCGGCAAGTCCTCCATCCAGAAGGTGAGTGGGGCCGCGCCGGGTCCCCTGCCTCCCCCTCCCCCTCCCGGGGGCTCGGGTGGCCGCCGGGCGCGTTGGGGGGGGTTGCGGAGGAGGGCGCGGCCGGGGCTGGCCGGCCGGGTTGTCCCACCGCGCTTTTTCTAGTCTTCTGGGGAGCGGGGCCAGAGGTGCGGCCCGCGGAGGACCCGGACTCGGAGTCCACGCCCAAGTCAGCCGAGGCCGAGTGGGTCCCCGAAGGCGAGACTGGCTAGAGGTAGGCAGGTGCCCGTGGCACCGCCCGGGACCTCCGCCCCCTGGGACCCATCCCCAGAGTCCTTTCCGAAACTGAGACGTACTCTGCAGTTCCAACTTGGAGAACTTGTCCGACTCCTTCCCCTGCCCGGTTTTTGTGTATTCCTCTCACTTCAGGTGACTTGAGTTTGCAGGACTTCCCAGGTGAGCCCCAGGGACCTGCGTCAGGAAGAGCTGTGACTAAGTCACTGGCCGTTTTAATATTTACTACTACGAAGGAGAATTTAACATCACTGGGGACTGGGGAGCTGTTATTCCACCAGTTTTGGTACTTGGGGCCAGACGAGTATAATTGCTGGTGATAGTCTCTCCTGGTATATGTGCGATACAAAAATCTTCTGAGACCTCGAGAATATTTGCAGACCTTTGTCAGCCCATTTGCTTTCACTTCGGGTCTGTCAGGAACAAATGGAGGGCTAGACCCTTTTTAGTAAGGGGGAAACTGAGGCAGGGTTGGCCTCCTTCAGTAGCCATCCCCCTCACACGCAAGTGGTAATAAAACGCCAGATACCTGGTCTGTTGCCCTTTCCACTCCGTTGCAAAGGTCTGTCCAAAATAAGTCTGTGATATTTTGTAAACATGATGGTTTTAACAAGTAGCCTTCTTCTGAAATTACTGGATTACTGTGTTTTATTTACTTCCGAATTTACTGGATTGCTGGGTTTTGTCTTCTCACCTCTACAGCAAATTTGGAGTAAATTCATGGTAGGGTTTTAGCAAACTGAATTTAATTCTTCTCGCTTGTTACTCATTGACTAAACTTTGGTAGTAACTACCCATTTTCCTTTTCTAGAAAGTAATAGTGAGAGACAAATTAGCTTTATGTTAGAATTGTGTGGATTGTAATTATCCTGATTCTTAAGTTACTTTTTTTTAAATTTTTATTTTATTTATTTATTATTATGTTATGTTAACCACCATACATCATTAGTTTTTGATGTAATGTTCCATGATTCATTGTTTGCATATAACACCCAGTGCTCCATGCAGAACGTGCCCTCTTTAATACCCATCACCAGGCTAACCCATCCTCCCACCCCCCGCCCCTCTAGAACCCTCAGTTTGTTTTTCAGAGTCCATTGTCTCTCATGGTTCATCTCCCCCTCCGATTCCCCCCCTTCATTCTTCCCCTCCTGCTATCTTTTTTTTTTTTTTTAACATATAATGTATTATTTGTTTCAGAGGTACAGATCTGTGATGCTATGGTGAGCGCTGTGAATTGTGC